GGGCTGTACATTGGAACTGACCGCTGTTCCAGATCTTTGTGCGTTATTCCCTTCCCGTATATTCACACAGAGCTGACTCGGAGATGGGCGCGATAGGACACTGACAGGAGTGTGTAGTGATCCGCTTCTATCTTGGGAAATTGGCTGACATTTCTCAGGTGGGAGCATCGGATTCAACGGTAAGCGCTGGCGCTTGTCGGCGCTATACGGCCCAGGCGTGCGATTCTGATCTGTCGTTTAACAGAGTTCTCTGGCGTGTGGAAGTACATTACCGACTGGCAAAATGTCTTCCGACACTTCGACAGGGATCGCTCTGGTTCCATTGACGGGGTGGAGTTGGCGGAGGCCCTGCGTAGCTTTGGGTACAACCTTCCGCCCAGTATATTGACGCTGATTGAGCAAAAATTCAGTGAGAGGGACGGAGTGATCTGGCAAGTTCCTTACTGATACCCTGCACTAGCCGCTGGCCCCTCCTCGGGGTACGGACCGCCGCCCGGTATCACCTTTGACCACTTCGTCCGCGCTTGCGTTGCTGTGAAGACACTCACAGAGGCCTTCCAACGCCAAGATACGGACCGGGACGGATGGGTAACGGTGAACTACGAAGACTTCATGAAGGTCGGTTGCCTTGCGTCAAGCACACCGTTCTGCGCTGACATGACCTACAGCTCGTCTTAAAGTTACACGTTTCCTATGGGGACTTTTCCTATGGGGACTCGACAAGTCCGCGTCCCGCGGTGCATACCGGGCTCGAGCCTCGATTGGCGTCACCAGCGCGTAGCACTCGGCCGCCAACGTTTCCGCCTGTAAGCTTATCATCATTCGGTGTCGAGTCCCATGCGTAAGAGGCCCGCCCCGTTCGCTCGGTGCCCGTAGCTCCAGCGTATGTCTCGCAAGAGCAATAGGCAAGTCGGCATGTGCGCAATTTTGGCCGACTCAGTGATGCTTGGGATACCACAAATAGTCGCCGGCACTCCTTGCTCCGGACCACCACCATCCCGCGCACACGATTCTGCCCCGCAGAACTTCTTCGCAGACACAATCAATTCTTTGCCCACTCTCCTTCTTGTCGGCTACACGCGTCCAAACAACTACGCATCATTCATCCGTCGTCAGTACATATATGAAAGTTCGACTACTGCGACGCGCACTTTCAAAAACGTTCCCAAGCTTTGCACCGCGCAGCCACCGCGCGCGCGCGTGTCGCCGCAGCACTGCGGGTTCGAAAGGCATCTGAAAGCTCGATGGTCCACCACATCAATGGGGTGCAACCTGCCTGTACTGGCAGCCCAACTGCATACTACGTTTGGCGCGGGTGCCGCTGCGTATGAGCGCGCCTGGGCGTGCGGGGAGGAGCATTCGGCGACTGGAGCATTTGTGCTCGTTCTTCAGTCGTTACCCACGGGTATACATACTGGTTACCATATCGAGCTCGCAAATCTAAGCGGCACAATGTACTGCTCAGAGTGTAATCGAAGATCTCTGTAGTATCAAATATACAGTACATGGGGTTTCAGGTCATCGCTAAAGGATCATATCAGCGGCCTCTTGCAGATATAATAGCGCTTTTTCAAACACCCTGAAGTCTCTATACAGTACACGAGGCCTTAGGGACAGCTAAACGAACAGGAGTGATCATCCTGTCAAGCTACCAGTGAGAACCTGCGGTGTCAAATGCGACGTCCAAGCGCTAACACGAACGGCAATAGTTTCCCACTCTTGCAAGTCTCCCACGGACACGCAAGTGAGCCATTTCAGGGGTGGAGGACCTAGCTCGTCCCGAGCCAGTAACGCGCAAGCCGGACCGCGTGGCCGGGTAGTCGAGTAGCCGGTGGCGGAACTCGCGAAAGTCCAGAGAAACCCTGGGTTATCGAACATCGACGGCAACTCATCTAACCCGGGTTATGCCAGTAGCTTAAAGAAATGGTTCGCTGTTATAGCATGCAAAGCACATACTCTGAGTATCTAGACGGATAGCGAGGGCAGGGGACGTCTACGTAGCCACTAAGGCTGTATTGGCATGTGCCGCACCCGTTTTTGGCGGTAGTTTGGTCTGATGCCGCCGGTGCCGGTGCTCGGCATCCGAGCTTGACGCGGCGCGCGCGTCGCTCCTCCCCGCGCGAGAGCGTCTCGTTCAGTGCTGGTGCACACTGCGAGCAATCTGCAGCCTCGTTTCGTCCCTCTCCGCGGAAAACAAGTATACCCTCTTCATGAACTCATCGACCCCGAGGGATTTACAGAGGCTTTTGAGCGCTGATGACCCCAATATTACCTCGTTTCGCGGGAACGTACATTATCGAAATATCACTCTGTAAATCCCTTCGAAAGAAGCCTATGGCTCGCGCATTGCTGTTGGATACAGGGTCCGTTGAGTCAGCGAAGTTATTCCAGGTTTACAGCCTTTCGCCAGGTTCGCAACGGGGTTGTCCGCGTCTTGTCTCGGCGATTGGAGATCGGCCCGAAGTCCCGAGCGGGAGTATAATGATTGTATTATGCTCACTACAACTTCAGACATTATAAATTAAGCTAGGATAAAATGTAACTAGAGGCACAAACGCCGGAAATGCGGAACTTCGAAGCATTAAGGAGGGCGTAAGGAGCATGCTCAGCTCTACGGCTCAGAATATGCGGTCTGCAATGACTCCGCCGACTGCTTTCCGCTTGTGCCTATCCAAGGGGTAGGACGGGAATCTGTGCGGTCTGATACTGAAGGGCCGTCGTTGACATAACTAACGGGTACGGCTGTCGGGTACGAGGCATTCGGGCTAAGCACCAGACCGCGCTCAACGTCGATACCAGGTGTCAACGAAACAGGAGGGCGCCGTTCCTTGGGCCCGTTGACGTTATGTTGGACTTCGAGCGCGCGCTTGTGATGTAGCTTGTCAATAGCGACGAGTATGAAGACGATAAGGGGGTAGATGGACTGAATACGTGTGAGCACAGCTCAGTACAGGCACAAAAAAGACGATAGCGCACCGTAATCTGAGCCATAGCTGCGTCGAGGTATGTTACCGCGGTGATTGCAGTTCGAGGATCGTCCGTAGCTGGACCCACGATGGTTTGCGAGGTGATCTTCCTGAAAAAGCCGATACAGTACAGAGTCTAACTCGTGATATCAGCCGGCTGGGAACTTCATAAGCGTGTCAAGACCCACCCATATGACCGAGTAAACAACCCCAGACTCCAGGAGAAGCTCCAGTAAACGCTCTACTAGCGTGCGTCCATTATAACTCGAGCGCAGGTATTTCGACACCCGAGTTCTATGCAACCTGATCTCCTGAATCAATAATCGTAGTGGACAGGTGTGTACTGGCATGGCGCACCAGAACTTGATTCCTACGAGAGTGGTTGCGAATAGATTGCTTGCCATGGAGATGAACACCGTGGCGAGTCCGATGAATGATTGGCCATACGTCGGGACCAACTCCGTATCCGCGTAGTTGTAAATGATGGCCCCGCCCACACTGCCATGAGCTTCTCCGACTATATTGGCGATGTTGAGGCCCAGTGTTGTTACGAGCAATATCGCGCTCATGACGAGCATGGGACGTGCTCTGTCCCACACGACACACATGCGCCAAAGCACAATGGAATCACTGATGACCGTCTGTGAAGCATGATGGCTCATATCTTGTAATGTGCATAGCTCGATGAAGCTACTCACATTGAATGAAAGCAAGGCCAGGAGAGCCACGCCTAGCGTATAAACGTCGTTGGTGGGGAGTTCACCGTCCACAATCGCAGCCACTCCATGGGACTGTAGTGTGTAGCATTGAAGGAAGATCGCCCAATGGGTGAGCGACATAGCATACATCAGCGATGCTAAGCCAGGTATGAGCAGGGAGGTGCGCGATTGTCGCTCTGAGCGGTATTGCCTACGGGTGCGTGAGCTCGATCTTGCACACTCCCAATTGTAGAGCGAAGGATGCTGACCAGAAGTTGACGTATGCTGTTATGGCATACAACCCTGAAGCAAAGCCTGGGGGGGGGAGTCAGAAAAATGATGAAGTTCAATCTGGATTGGCATGATTGACGGACCGAAAAGAGTCGTTTCGACCACGAGCGGGAGGAGATAACCCCAGACTATTTGATACAAGGCGTATCTGCCACTGATCTCCCTATCGCCAAAATTGTATGATGGCTCGTTGGCGACGTCCGTCTCAAGGTCCTCAAGAGTTAACGAAATCTCCAATGGACTATCGAAGCTTATGTTAGAATAGTGTGAGAGTAAGGTTCGTACTACGCGTACCTTCCGGTGAACGTCGTTTCAAGCTGTCGTAGTGACAATGTCCAATGTACAATTGCGGCCGATAGAGCAACACAAAGCATCAACATATATGGAACCCGGGTTTTGAAGGTCGACTTGATCCTACGTCTATGTGATCAGCGCAACTTCTCGGGCTTTCGACGCAGCCAGACGAGCCGCACCACAGTGTGTATAGTCCTAGCGGTATGTATGTGCAGATTGAACCTGCAACCCGTCTCAGCGTCTTTCGTCTCGATAACCTAGCACGACATACCCAGCATGAAGCTTTCAAATATGAAGGGCGGTGCAGCGGACGACGCAGTGGACTTGAAGAGCACCTCTAGGACTTGCGCCTGTTGAGTGACGTTCAGATCAGGAAGAGACATGGCGACGGTGCGATGGAGTAGCCGGGTACATACAACAATGTATTATAAGTTGCTAGAGCCCCGACGGATCGAGGTACGCAAACTTGTAGCGACAGTGTCGGCGCACGGTACAATTCGACCGTCTGAATAGCATCGCCGTTCCTAGTAGCTCAAATGCCTACCTATGTTCGGGGGACGACATACTCGGCGTGCAGACGGGAGTGAAAGAGGCAATTTCTGTTCCTTAAGGAGATAAGGTGAGGTATGAAGGCGGGGTAATCACCAAGAACGTACCCATCGAATGTGCCACTCAAGTGATGGCGACTCAGGTGTCCATTTGTGGCTACTTGCCTGGCATTTGTGTTCGCCACATGCATCGTATTCAGGCCCATCCGACCAAGTAAGAAAGGTAGTATCCTATCTACGCCGAAACAGGGTTAACGTCAGCTAAAGCTATACATATAGCAGGAAGACGGGAGGGCTCACGCACAGGAAGTATCCGAAAGGCGGGTTTGGTCTCAAAGAAGACCCTACTCAAGAGATCATGGACGCAGTGGTTGTGAACCTGAGGGAAGCAGGTCAGGATTACTTGCAAGCGGAGAGCTCCCGCACGCGAGTGACATCGTCTCAATGCTAGTATCGACGCTCATCTCGCCTACTACGATGGACTTGAGTCAACAACAGACAGCGAAAAGAGCAAGGACGGAGACTGCTCGGAGAACCATCCCGTGAGGCCTCCGCTACAGTTGAGAGTACGCCAACTTGAATGGTGCCATGTATGCATGGGACTCGTCTGCGCAACGGAACAGGAATGCTACTGCATGCAGTGACAAGTCCGGGATAATCGTCCGTTGCACACCGGCGGCGCTGTACAGGAAGAACTGACGCAGATCCTCTGACCTAGAAAGGGTAATCGGGGATCATGTTGGCCTTGTGGCGTACGGTACTAATGCGGGCTGTATATCAGCGGAAGACTGGAGATGTGTTCCGTGTCTTTGTATAGAACCTGTAACCAAAGCATCTTGTCAGTCATCATGATAAACCTGCATCCACAAGTGACGAGACGCACTTTATACGGTTGCTCTTGTTCTGCCCTGTCTCCGCTGCTCCTTGCCTATGACCCCGCCGCACGCCCGTGTAGTTGATGAAGTCGGCCCATTAAGGCTATCCGTCGCCTATATCTACTCAAACACCGCCGCTGTCGGGTATCTGGTGATGGTACCCTGGATCCAAGGCGGAACGGGACCGACTCAGGCAATTGGACACTTCATTTGGCCGGGCGGACAGCCCAAGAGACAGGCTACAGGACACTCGAGGTCATATACGAGTAATTGATTTCAATTGAAAAGTGGATTGAAGCTTGTGGAACGAGGCAAGCCTCGGCAGACATGAGTGTTGTGGTCGAAAAGAAGAGACGCGCGGTGCGAGACTTCCAGGAGATGACGGGCCGGTGTGGCAACTCTGAGATGCAGTAGCCATTTTTCTCACTATTCCAGGAGTTCGTACAAGAGGCGTGCGGAAAGGCAGACTCCATGAGGTCGCAACCAGACAATCTAACAGGAATATGGAGTGTATAGCGAGAACGCATGAGACGGTCAAACCAGCAGACAGGATACATGCAATTATGAGTGCGAGCTATAGTAAAGGCGTGAATGCATGCACATATGCTCTGAGTCTGATACGTAGTGGTGACGATGCTAGACAAACATGCGTGAGGGATAGAAGAAACATCAGAAATCCGAGACCATGCGCGAACATCGAGGCAGACAGAAATAGGCCAGGCTAGCAGATAGGGAAGGGGCTACCGTCTGCGTACTCTAACAGACCGAACAGTCATCTCCCCGCTATCGAGCTCGACGAGCTGCATCTCCGTCTCCCATTCATCCTCGTCGTCCTCAACCTCGACTTCTCTCTTGGCTCCTCTTCTCGACAACACCGGCTCTTCGCCGTCCGTGATGACGCCCGCGCTCTCGGGCTCGCTCTCGCCCTCGGCCTCCGTCTGCCACCCCGAGCTCATATGGTCCTCAAACTCCGAGTTCGTGTCGCTCGCAGCGCTACTCGAGCTCGCAGTGCGGACCTCGCCGTACCCGTCCAGCGCGAACGGGCTGGGAGGAGCAAGCGCAGGCGAGGGCAACGCGCGTAACCGCATGTAACCAGGCAACGGCAGCGGTATATGCAGCTCATTATCCTTATCCTGCTCGAGCGTCTTTGGCGTGCGTTCAGGGGTACCAGGCGTAGAAGGTGCAGCACTCGACGGAGGCGTCGGTCCATGGCTGGCCGTCGGCGTCGGCGCGTCGCGCGGCGGTATTGATCCGTCGACGCCACGCGGCTGCAACGCAAAGTACCCCCCAAAGTCGTTGCCCACCGCAGGCGGCGGCGTCGGGAGCGAGTCGTACGGCGCAGCGGGCGGCGCGGTGGGCGTCTGCACCCCGCTGCCCGACGCCGTGGCGGTGCTGCCGGGGCTATTACCCAGCTTCATGAGCTTGAGGTTGTTGCCCAGGTTGAGCGCCGCGAAGTCCGGCACGTCGACGGCCTCGTCCGTGCGGGGCGGTATGGAGAGCGGCTCGCGGTCGGGCGACGACGAGCGGAACGTGATCTCGCCCGGCTCGTCCTCGGACTCTGAGGGGTAAAACGCGATCTCGCCCGGTTCGGGGGACATTCTGCTCGGCGGGCTGGGGCTCGGGCTGTTGGAGTCGGGAAGCAGCGGCAGGAAGGAGAATTTGGGCCGAGGAGCCGGTGCGCGGTTGACAGGTTGGGTTCGGGAGGGCGGGCCGAGGTAGGAGCTCGTCATATTCGGACGGGGCGGGTAGGATGGAGTCTGTTTCGCGAGGGGGTGATTTGGCTTTGCGGGCGGGGACCAGGTTCGCCATGAATTCGGGCTGTGCGCGCTTGGTCTGGGAGGGTATGATGCGTAGGATGTGCGCGGGGGAGAGGCGGGCCGCAGGGGTGATGGCGACCGGGACGCGCGGGCCGAGGTGGGCGGGCTCGACATGGGGCTGGCGGACGCGGGCGAGTCTGTCGACGCCACGGGTTCTGCCGGGAGCAGGGGGAGGAGGCCGAGGGGCACGGTGCGCAGGACCTGTACGCGCTGGCGGCCGTCTGGGCAGTACGGATCCCGTGCGGGCTGCTCTGCGCGCGGGAGCGAGTTCTGGATCGCCTTGAGCTCGAGCATGTCCTTGTACGTCAACTTGGCCGTCACGTCCGCCGGCGTGCGGTCCCACTCGTCGGCAGCCCATACCGTCGAGGGACCGTCGTCCGCGCAGAAAGACACGCATTTCCGCGTCAGGCCCGGCGCGTGGGGTGAGGGCGGGCGCGACCGGGGCGGTGTGCTGCTGGGCGAGTTCTTCAAGCAGCTCTTGTACGCCATCGAGGGCATCGACGGAGAAAGGGGATGAGGCGAGGCTCGGTGCGTGCGCAAGGTAAAGGTAAAGAAAAGGCACGGGCGTTACAGGGGCCCCATACGTTTTGAACCTCTCGAAACCAGGCGGCAGCCCGAATGGTCCCGACCCGATGGACAATCATGACGCCCCCCTTCAGCGCACGAGACCCCCTCACGTCAAGGTGCCTCGCCTCGCTTGATCTCTCAACAGCAGTGGCACACTCGCCTGCTGCTCTCATCGATGACTTTTTGCACAGAACAGAAGGCGCGGAGCGTACTTGAGCTCACCAGAGCCGCTCGGAGAAGTCGCTTCGGCCCATCTCAGCCAATCACCGATCTCGGTGCCCCATTCTCGCGCGGTGCGCCGCCCCGCCCGTGCGCTGCGTCTCACCCCATATCGAGCCATCCGTTGACGTTGCCCCCTCTTCCCCGCCGCCTCACGACCTGACGTACCTGGGCCCCGCATTGTACGTAGCCAGACGTACAGGCGAAGCGCCCGAATGTTATGTGACCCGCACAAAGTCCTGCAGCCGAGCCCCAAGTCCGACGCCTTTGTGGTCGCGTGCGCCACAATTTCGTCCGCGTGCTATTCATTCGCGCACAAACAGAGCACATACGTGTAATGGATCCGGGCCCTGCCTGCATTGTACGATGATCCCCATATAGTACGCTGACGGCGTTCCCAACGGCTCTGCGCCCCAGCGAGTAACACTACGTCAAGACGTGTAACGCAGCTGACCTCTTCGCGCATAAATCTCGAGCCACCATGCGCATATAGCCGTCTTCTTGAGCAGGCCTACACGGTAATACTCAACAACGCGGGATTCTCGGACAACGTGCCGTTCATCTAACGCTTTTCGCATACTTTGGGGCTGGCGTGTCTTCAACGGGTCTGCCGCCGGCGCCGTATGCGATGTCGAGCTGTGCCACTTCCCTAACCCGGCCACTCCAGCTTCAATCGACTCTTCTCTTGCGCCGGCTATAGCTTAGCTGGACCCAACTGGACCTCCACTTAGACTATCTCCATCTCTCCTTTGTCTATCTGCGCCCGTCCTGACCCGAGCTCTCACAATCACATATGTGGTTACATGCGTATGTTCAGCCTCGCTTCCTCGGCGCCGTATGCTCCCAGGAGCATCCATCCGAGCCCCGACCGACGCCGGGTTCTTCTCGGCCGCGGCGGTGTGTGTAGGCTATAGCGCGTGCGGACTGGGCCCTACGAGCGCCCATTCCACGCCGCCGCGCGATGCACACGATAATCCGGCGAGACCGGCATACCGCATATGGACAGTTGGGCGCTTGCGGGTGAGTCTGTAGACTCTGTACTTTCGCAGAGGGGAAATGACCGGCCTACGGCGTATAGGACGCTCGCCTTCGACTCGAGCAACGATACTGAATACACCGACACGATCGGACGTCCCTCATTGGCCTTTGTCTACTACTCCCACCAATAGCAACTTCCCCGCTCTGCGCGCACACATCTGATCGGCCCGCCCGCCTTCCAACTTCCAAGATCTAAAGATGAGCGCATGTGATTATCGTAGCGTATCTGGCTCAACTGCACTCGCAGATTGCTGCGGCCGTTCGGGCGAGATTATCTATCGATCGGACTACACCGGGCGATCTGTGCGTAGCTTAGCTCGCCGCAGACGCTCATGAAGGCCATTTGTACCTGCCGAGCGGCTTGACAACACTAGGCGGAATCCTAGTAATCTCCGAATCCATCTCGCGCGAGTGTAGATGAAGGGGTATCGATCCAACACGCGTGCCACCAGTACTTCCGGGCTCCAGCGCGCGATGCAATGCTATCGTTGCCAGTAATATATCATTCATTGGATCTCAACACGGATGTCCGGTTTGACGGCAATCATAGACGGCATTCAGTATCAATAAGTAGGGACAACTATTACAACACTATCAACGACATGTGGCTCCAACTTGTGTGGATTGGACACTGCACTACCGTAAAACTCCCCTGATGCATAGTTTAGCGCCTCGTATTGTATGACCGCAAGTACACGAAGATGATCAGCCTTGAAAGTACGAGCAATGTTTATTAGTCTATCAGCATTCACTGTTTCAAGTGCATGAGTACCGTGCGTGATGTCTGGTTCGACAGACCACCGTGAATGGAGTACGCTCTACCGCAATCGATGCCTGCCTTCCTCCTCCCCCTTCTCCCGAGTGTCCATGCGCTCTCTGGGTGCATCTGCACACGCGTCGATGTCTGGGTTGTTTCAGATGGAAAGCCGGTTCCGCGCGGTTACTAGTATGACTGTCCAAAGCTCCATAAAGACTACTGGCTCAATGGTCTAGTCGTATGATTCCTGCTTCGGGTTCTGCCCGCTATAATTGTAGCACCATTGCAGGAGGTCCCGGGTTCAATTCCCGGTTGAGCCCTTACAATTGCGATACTTGCGAAATTTTTATAATCAGTTCTCATCGAGGGGATCGCGGGGAACATGCAAAGCACGTAAAGCTGCAAAAAAACTCGAGCGGGACGACGGGGAAGGGTTTCGTACCCTTCCCGCCACCCTCAGTCTGCAACGAGACTAGAGCAGCACCTGGAGAGGTATGTGCCACCCGTATCCATTGCTCTACGTACATCTACTGTCAATGAAGTTCCGGCAGACTCGGAGACAGTGTGGCATCTGCCGCTGCTTCCGGCATTCGTTCACGAGATGGATGGGCTCAAGGCAGATGTGTATTATACAGCAGACGTTTAACGTTCGTAGATACAAGTACAGAACACAGCAAAGCAATTCTACAGTACGAAATCTCAAGCGGCGACAGGCGCTTTAACGTCCCTTCCCCAATCTACCTGTCCGAGCGAGTCCCCGGGCCCACGCCGCATGTTCTCCATCCGTACGACAGCTTCTGCCCTTGCCCGCGCAGGAGAGAATCTCGACCGTGTCTTGCGACGGCGGCAGACAATGTATCCGGCCCCAGCCAGGAGCAAGGCTGCTGCTGCACCGAGCGTGCCTCCCACGATTGCGCCGACGTGGGAGGATGTTGAAGAGGTGGACTCGCCGGCGATGGCAGCGGCTGCAGCACTTGACGACGATGTGGACGACGGCGAGGTGTTTGAAGTGGTCGCGGAGCATTCACAGAAGGTGATATTGACGTTGACCTGCAACATCGCGGTGAGTAAAGCAGATAAATGGTGTTTGGATCGCGACGAACATCTTGCGCCTTGCACGGCAGCACCTTTCCCCAGATAGGCTCGGTCGTGTTTGAGTTGGTGCATCCCGCATCATCTTCGCCTATAAGATGCTATCAGCCGTTTACAGAATAGCATGCGTAGGCGCGAACTCACAGGTCCATCCCAGACCATCACAGCCGTTCGTGTACTCCACGCAGACAGGTTCGATAGCTGGTGTACTACGTCCCGTTCGGAGATACGCATATATGGCCATAAATAGAACTCACATCCTGTCCAAGTACACGGCTATCTGCGACCCTTGAAACTGTGTTGTGATGTTGTTCATCAGCACAGTGCTGACCACCGTGCAGTTTCCAACGCCAAACGAGCATCCGCTCGACTCGAGCCATCTGTACGGGAATTGCGGTCAGGCGAGGTCGCGGGAAACAGCGCAAGGAACGGGACACACGTTATGGCGGAGAGCGGGCCGGAGCCCGTGAAGCTGTTGTCAGGGATGCTCATGTTCGTGCCGTTCACCAGCAACACCGGCTGCAGGCGTGCAGTCAGTGCCCTGCACACGCAACCTCTCCCGCGTTGTCGTCTGCGCCACTCACATTTCCATGCCCGCAGCTATCGAGGACGAGGCGCTTGAGTCTCACGATTATCCGCGAACCATCACCGGGTGACGCACTTGTTCGTGATCGAGATGGTGTGCTGTTCGGCGCTCGCGTACGCTGCGAGGAGCGCGGCTGCAAAGACCAGGTAGCCCGTAAATGCGCTCATGGTGGGTGGCCTGCGAGTACCCAGCCGCGAGAGAAAGAGGTGGGAGGAGGCGGAAAGGGCACCCACGGTTGTCGACCCTATCAGAATATATACTACCTTCACGGGCGCTAGATTCCTGATCGACGTGAGCATAGCGCCTCGCGAGTCGCGATAGCACGTTCCACGGTAGAAACGGGACTAGATCCGTGTATAGGACGTACTCAAGGTTCTCACCTGTCACGGTGCGCTCGGGCATAGTGCTTCGTGCATCTACGTATGTCCCTGATGGGCTTACTGGGGTTGTCAGACAGTGATCCGAGGCGCATAAGCGGTAATTATGCAGGTACGGCTAGCGCGACATATGCGCAATGTAGCACGGTACCTCTGATATGACCAATCATATACACAACCCTTTAGATGCACTTGACACAGAGGGGCAACTGGGCCCGATAGTTCTTCAAGTCCCCGACCACTGGGCCGCTTATGTTTCCAAACCACCATGAGACCTGATGCTTTCTGGACGGCCTGAATTCGAACGAGGAGACGAACTGCGCGAGTACACATTCTGGAGGAAATGTGAGCTTGATCAGTCTAGGAAACGCGGCGAATCCTTACTCTGTTCCAGTAGCGAGAACTTGAACCCACTGGCAAGAGTCATCAGTGGGTGCGAGATGAATACGTGGGTAGGCTTGGAAACGCACATGCAGGAACGGGCACCGCCAGAGAACGTGAGTGTATTGGAGTATACGCCAGGAATACGCGCGTCGACGACGGCCTGCGGCAGTGGCTTGAGCCAGCGCTCAGGCTTCCACTCACGCGCATCTGCGCCCCAGATGGTCGTCGAGGTGTTCACCTCCGCGATGCTGCATAAGATCATGGTGTCCTTGGGAACAAGAACCTCGGTCATGACATTCCCGTCAACACCCGTGATAGGTTGTTGCAGCGGGAGGACGTAGTCTTCGCGGGCCCTAGCGGTTCGTCAGAGGGTGTTGCACCACGTATACGGAATCACTTACTGCCGCTGCACGAAACGCACAGGCGGGAACAGACGTAGAGTCTCGCGAACTACAGCCTCGAGATAGGGCAGGCGGTCTAGGACCTCGAATTCAAGATCCACCTCCGGCGCGCCGGCTTCAACGAGCTCTGCGCGAAGCTTGTCTTGTACGTCGGGATGGAGTGCGAGCAGGTGCAATACACGCGCAAGAGCGGTGCTGGTGGTGTCTGTACCGGCGAGGAGGAACGTGTTAACCTTGAATATTTCGAGTTAGTCAGTGATCCTCGACGACGAAGATGAAGTACGGACCTGGGCTACCAGCTCGTTTTCGGGGAGCTTATCCTCGATAGTACTCTTGTTGTTCTCTTCGACTGAGTCGATTCATGTCTCGTCAGATATGCGTACATCGGATCGAAAGACAGCACTCACGTAGTAGACTGAGCACATCACGTCCTTGACCCTTCTCCGCGCTGCTGAAGATCTTTCCATCGGCATGCATCTGCTTCTTTTCGGTCCAGATGCCCGTCGCGAACTGATGCAGCGTGTCCGAGATGTTCATCATCTCATGCAGCGGACGAACTGGTAGCAGCTCTCCTGCGCGACGGAGAAACCACGGAGGAAAAGTACGCATCAGGATGGGAAGAAGAGGGCGAAACTTCAGGAGCTTTGCACTGGTCGGGCTGTGTGCTAAACTCAGTATGAGGCAGCCAATGATGCAGAGTAGGACGCACAAGAACCGCCGCAACGCGCTACTCAAGGCGTGTGGCTTTCCATCTAAGGCATTGAACGAGTGTCCAAAGCCACCTTGTGCCACGAGCTCCAGCGCAGTACGTCCCAATACGTCCAGAACATCCGTCTCTTCGCGACTGGTCCTTTTGATGTCCTCCTCCAAGATCTCGCGCACCTGCCGAGATACGTCAACAAGAGCCCCATCTGAGGCAGAGCAGAACGCACACACCTGTCTGGACACCGCGCTGAAGTTCGGTGTCAAGTGTTTGATGTGGCCCAGGGAGAATGCGGGGTTCATAAGCTTCCGATGTTTATGGTGCACATCGCCTGAATGGAAAGTTGTCAGTTAAGGCTTCGCCGCTTGGAACGATGAGCGCACCTTTCATTGGCGTGGAAATGAGGCCTTGTCCAAGAATGACGCCAGTCAACCTGCCAAATAACATGAGTTATTGGCTATGAGGCGCAGAAAAGATTGAGTCACTTCAGGAAGAACTCGACTGTGTCGAAGACGTCGACACGTTTGACGATGATGTGATGCAACGCAACGGGGTCGGATGTGACGAGTATCTGCGCCTGCAGCGACAAGTTAGTTGTGTTTGCGCCGGTATGAGGAAGTAAGCACACCCCGAGATAGCCATGAACCCTATGAAGCGGACCGTATGTTGCAAAGAGATGGTCGTGCAAGGGCGTAGCATCGGGACGGAAGAGTTGGGCGAAATTGCCTGTCGCATTCATCAGGCCATGGAACGGGAAGGAGAGTTATCATGCTACTGGCCTGTTATAAGAGAAGCGCTAGGCGGACCAGGTATCTTGCGCAAGGACCACTGACGCCAAATGCCGCGGAGAACCGACTGGACGACGGCGAACAGAAGCGCAACAAGCACGATCAATGGGTAACTGAGCAAGGACATCTCGACCTGACCTCGGTGAGGGAGATATCGAAGATGAGAGATATATACTCGTGTTCTGTCGAGTCTCGGAGTGTCGGTCGCAAGAACAGGTTGATAGTTCGGTCCAAGCCTTGTGCACGAAGACGATGGAAGCTTCTCACAGCAACCTGGGTGTCTTGTGCGCTCTGCTATCCGCTTGCCGACGAGCTTCTCGTCATCAAGCTGGCCGCACAAGGGACGATGGCTGATGTTATGCCAGCGTTGTTACTGGCGCGTGTAGCGTGACGGACAGATAGCCGTTCGAATCGTCTCACAGGATCTTGCAGTGACGAATCTCTGCTTTAGTCACGGAAAGGGGTGTAGAACGTCGGCAGGAGTACGGTATGTGGTGCGTAGTGGCAGATGTGTCGGGCTCAAATCACCCGTAAGCGCATTGACGGCCTAGCTACGTAGTCTCGTCCACTAGACGGGATCCACACGAGTCACAAGCCGAGCACAGTGACTTTCGCACATCTCGGGTAAAGTAGAAGCGAGCGATTGATACGACTTGAAGCTTGAAGCTTGAGGAGTCGAAGGGTGGTGGTGGTGGTGAAGCACGAAGCCGCGGTGCCGCGCAGCGCGATGATCGCAGACAGCTTCCCACAACATATATTTAGCCGTTCAATACCAACATAGGGGTGCCCAAACACTTGGTTCGTATTCGTGGGCATGCTAGGTGAATCATTGCATTTCAATGTCTATAAGTACGTAATTATGTTGAGCTAAAAGCGCGTCACATGGCTACGTTTGGTGGTAGAGATTGTTATGCATTAGGGTTAGGGTTAGCGCAATGAAGCGACCGAAAAATGGCCCGCCCAGCCCGAAGGCCGGAGCGGGACAGGAAAATATTGAGACGGTGCATGAGCCGAAGCCCATACAAACCGCGGGTTCCCCCTGAGGACAGGGTCGCCGTGCTATGGGAGGCCCCCGCGGCCCACAGCACACAGACGTGAAGGGCACTGTGCCATCAAGGTAAGTATGAGGATTTCAGGACGCGAGCCGCGCCCACCTCCTTCGCCGCGCTCGCGCACGGACCCGGACCAAGTCCTGTGATCGCGCGCGACGCGCTCTTGGACCACCTTCCTTTCAGCCACCATCTGCGAAAGCCATCTATGATTACTGAGCGTATCTTCTCACTCTCAGCTGTGAATATGTATAATCGCATCGAAATACGAAGCTATCCATCGTCATGACAGTCTATTCCCGAGCTACTCATGGACGTTGAGGCACAACGTGTCATACAATATGTGTGTACACTGTAGGCATTCGATAAGGTACAATCCAACGTCTACGAAATACACGAGAACGGGATTCATCATATAATGTACAGAAAAGGGATGTGCGTTGGGGTCGTCATGCAGGATATACAGGGGGTATTGCTCTAGTTAAGAAGGGATGCGATGCTGCAAGTTGATGTGCGAGTGATACAGACGATTGTGATTGAGCATTGACTGCGTGCAGAACAGAAGACAACAGTAGTGCGAGGAGAACGAAGCGTGGCAGGGAAATTCGTGGAGCGTGTATGGTAGGGAAAGTCGTGAGAGGTTTTTTTTTTGAGATAGCGAGGGGAGAGCAATTGCAATTCGAGACATGATACGAAAGCAGAGCGAGGCGATATGCGTTTGCAATGAAGACGGGATAGCGAGATAAGATTGTCATTAGCGATTGTCTGAGTTCCACACGTGCTGGTCGATATTGAGCGAGTCTGAGCTCGCGTCATACGCGCCGAGATCGTCCTGCGATATCTCCCGCGCACGAGCGCGCCTGAAGGATGGCATAGGGCGACGCACAGCTTGACGCGCAGGAACAAGGAGGGTTGGTATGTTCGATGTGCCGGTCACATTGGTAGCCATGGACTGTTCAGATGGGCTCGGGTGGGCATCCATCGCCGAGCGCCGAGAGGTCTTCATCGAAGGCTTGAGCACGGCAGCAGGTGGTAGGTTGGGCAGCATGATGGGCGGATCTGGCTGGAGCGCGGGGACGGGACGGATTGTTCCGGATCGAGTGCGAGTAGTCTTGGATAGCGGTACGGCAAGAGTAGCAGAGCTCGAAGTAGATATCTCGGCCGCAGCGTCAAGAGATGTGGTACGTTGTGGATAGTCGCTCGCGCGTATGGTACGAGCTCGGGGACGCGAGCTGTTGGCTTGCTCGGCATTGACATCTAGGGAGCGAGTGCGCGAAGGCTGAGATGACCGATCTGCAGTGCGATCAGCGTCAGTGGTGAGTTTACATGAGCACGATGAGAACGGACCCGCGATCGTTAGGCCACCCAACATACTTGTCAGTTCCTCAGGGAGAATGCGAGCGTTCTCTGGGCTCGAAGGGGCGGTCATCGGCCGGTTCACGTCGTCCAACTCCAGGGAATCCCGAGGTACGACAAGATCCAGTGAGCTCCTGCCATTCTCACGACGAACACCAGAACGACGGGAGATAGACTTTGCAGAGGCAGCGTCCAGGGTTGAATCCATGATGCTGTCGTAGTCCATTATACTGTCTCCCGAATGCGATGAAGAGCTCCGATTGCGCATGCGCGGGCGGCGGAGGGGAAGGCCAGGTGTCTTCGCATTGTCGTCCGTCATATCGATATCCTCTTCGTCGCTGGGAGAGTTCGGCGCGCTGAGAGCGCCTTCTTGTGGAATTCGACGCCTGAGAGGAGGCGTGCTCATACGCAAAGGGCCGGGGTTGGCGAAGGTGGCCGAGTCAATGCTCCAGTCGGGTAGATCGAAAGGGACTGGCGTCTCAGTTGGAACGTAGTCGGCTGTGAAAGGTCCACTTCCTAAGATGCGAGCGGGGCGCAGCCAGTGTTCATCAGGTACGTTGACAAAGAGGGATGTTGAGGGCCCGGAGAGACGGCGACGGTGAGACGCATCAGCAGAAGCGGCGACCTCCAGATCCTCTGAAGCGCTCGAAAAAGTACGCTGCTTTTTACCAGATGTCGACGTCGTCTTCTTGGGGGACTCTGGAGCGCTACCTGGCTGCGACTGGAAGGGCGAAGCTAGACCGAGCTTGACGCGTGTCTGACCAGAACCCGTGGTCTTTCCGCTTCGCGAGGCAGAGCGTGACTTGCCGGAGTTCTCTTTGAGGCCGCGAGACGTTGTGCGGCGACCAGAAGGTGCACGGACAGGAGACAAACGGTCGGTCCGGGGAGGAAGAACCTTTGGGCCACCACCGGTAGTCATTGTAATTGAGGAGTCCATCGCGTTTGCGGGCGTCTCGTAGTCGTAAGTCGTCGATGCCATGCTGAAGGGGGTATCTAGATGTGCAGAATTGGCACCTGATTCGCTACGACGGAGTCGTTTTTTCGAGCGCTTAGGGTCCATAGAGTTAGTCCGTGACAAAGCTAGTTGGCGAGCGCGCTTGGTGGGAGAAGTTCGCCCGTTTGTGCCAGAGAACGACGCGTCTGCGCCGCGCGCGTCAAGCTGCTGTTGGGGTAGAGACGATCCCGCCGGCGTAGCCCCAGTGCCATGGGCACGCGCCCGCCTATTAGAGTACGTCGTAACACGGCGTCCGGACATGACTGCGACCCGCACAAGATGGTGGAGGCAAGAGGCAAGCCTGAATGGATCGTTTTGCTTCGCGAGCAACGAGGAGTAGTGACGCGATGTCACATTGACACGATCAGTCACGTCTGACGCTTCGGCACACGCGAGCCGGTGCCCCTATTCCAAAGTTTTGCAACGGCGAGCTCAGGTTGATCCTGAACATCAACTATCTACATCCAACATGGCTACACTCCTTCCTCCCCCAAAACGGCAAAAGCTATACCACGGCATATCAGAGCCTGAGCCTGAGCCCGTCAGAGCGTCACCGAATGTGGTAGTTCAGTTTGTGTCTGAAGATGATGGCGCGCAACTTGCGCCGGCGGTTAGCTTGCCGGCAAATGTATCGCGAGATGACTTGCAATCTCTCGTGAATAGCCTGACTAAGAACGTATGTCACCGTACTATAGGACTCTTCGCGTTCACCTCACCTGATATCACTTACAGGAAGAACCCGTGCCGTTTCAATTCCACATAACAATACCTGGTGAAGAGACGAAGCCGGGAGGAGCTACGCGGATTGTCATTGCCAAGTCCATTGAAGCCGATGTACTCGAACATTCGTCTCAAGCCTTCTCTCCCGAAGATATTCTCGTCATTCGCTGTGCGCCACAGTCCGTCTTCCGGGTACGCCCTGCAACACGATGTTCATCGACGTTATCGGGTGTGTTGCCCTCTGCGTGGTTCTCGACAATCCTGTACTAAAAATGGCCGCTCGTCAGGACATACCTCGCCAATACTATGCGCCGCGTTCTCACCTACGGGCAATATGCTTGCAACCGGTTCAGGTGATACGAATGCTCGCCTTTGGGATCTGAACACCGAATTGCCATCCCATACGTTGTCGGGACATAAGGGATGGGTGCTATGTGTTGAATGGGAGGCTCTTGAGAGGAAACTGGCAACAGGCGGCCACGACGGTCAGGTATGTGGCATCCTATTCCTTCTGCAACGCGTTGCTCATCCACGACGCAGGTCAGGATATGGGATCCGAAGACTGGCAAGCCAATAGGCGATGCTTTAAAGGGGCATTCAAAATGGGTCACCTCCCTATCATGGGAGCCAATACATCTGTAAGCCGTCGTTTCCCAACCTCTTGACATTCCTAGCTGACCCTGCTCAAGCAATGTCGCGTCTCCTCGACTAGCATCTTCGTCAAAAGATGGTACCGTCCGTGTATGGTCAATGACGACGAGACGCGTTGAGTATACGCTTGGCGGACACACAGCAAGTGTCAACGTCGTACGCTGGGGAGGGGGCGGTTTGAATGGGAAGGGCGTCTTGTACACCGCATCTTCTGACCGTACCGTCCGCGTATGGGATGCCAATAGTGTAAGTACAGCTACCACCAGTCAGAAGCAGCCCGCTGATATTCTATATCCAGGGTCGCCAATTGCATGCTCTTCAAGATCACGCCCATTGGGTCACGACGCTCGCGCTGAATACGGACTTTGTGCTACGGACAGGGCCGTTTGACCACACCGGCAAGAGGCCTTCGTCTGATGAAGAGGGTAAGCGGTATCCAGCACATCTGCCCATCAAGTCTTCTTAACCGCCATGCAGCGCAAGAGGCTGCATCGAAGCGTTACAACGCTCTTGTCAGTGCCACGCCCGAACTCCTCATCTCAGGCTCGGACGATCATACTCTCTTCCTCTGGTCTCTCTTCCCTTCTCGAACGTCCGGCAACGAAGCGGCGAGCGAAGCAGCCGCCAAAGGCGGGAAGCTCAAGCCGCTCGCGCGCCTGACGGGACACCAACGGCAGGTTGCCCACGTTGCTTTCAGTCCTGATGGGCGATGGATCGCGAGTGCCGGCTTCGACAATAGTGTGCGGCTGTGGGAAGGTCGCACGGGGAAGTTTGTTGCGACGCTACGAGGGCACATCAGTACGGTCTACCGCTTAACTTGGTCGGCCGATTCCCGGTTGCTCGTGAGTGCAAGCAAGGACACTACCCTCAAAGTGCGTGGCGCGATATGAGATCACGACTACTACTCACATTTGATCAAGATCTGGGACTTGAAAACGTACAAGATCAAAACTGATCTGCCCGGCCACACAGACGAGGTGTACTGTGTTGACTTTGTGGCTGACAAGATTGTGAGCGGTGGAAAAGACCGCACTGTGAAAATGTTTGTTCTTCGTCCTTCCTCCCCGCTCCAGATCCGGGGCTGACGCATCCTCCAGATGGAAGAACTAGTGTACGCTACTTCTCAGCAGCGTAATGTCATCATATCATACAACCCCTCGCGGGTCACGACGGTACTGCCCGTATCTATCTTACAATGAGACCTCATCATGGCAAGCGAGATAAGATCTCTTTCGTTGCATGAGGACGCAGGTGAAGCGAGAATATGGTCAAAGGTAGTCCCGTTGTGGCCCTTGTTGAACAGCACGCTATGCGCGATGATGATACGGGCTCTGTCTCTAGCGACTGCGGAGAGCATTGCAGCGAAGTGCGACTTCGATACTGTATGCATCGCCATCAAATCATCACATTTCGGACGATGATGCGCAAGCGAGCCGCGTTCCGTGTTGTGATGGCTGTGTATCTGCTTGGACGGCACATGCCTGTACTGGATCCGTGATACTAGGGTAATCAATGGTACAGCCTGCGGTTGACTGAGCGCAAGTTAAAAGCGCAATTCGCCTGGAGTCTCTAGATCCCCATTCTTATCCACTTTTTCGCCCCGGCTCAATCTTCTCTTTCTTCGCCGCCTTTGTTGACTCTACATCCACCTTCAGGACACCTTCATCTTCACATTTCTACTCCTACGCCATGTTCACGACTCGTTTCCTCCTGTCCGCCGCTGCGCTGGCCGCCTCGGCCGTCTCTAGTGTCTACGCTGAAACTCACGTTGTGACTTTCGATAACCGTTGTGGTCAGGGCACGGTTTGTCCAACCTCCCTCAGCCCGATCATCAAGCGATGTCTCATCATTTTATAGCCCATGTTGAAGGCAAACGGCCAGACGCTGTCCACTGGCGGCGCGTATTCGAGCAATGGTCCGTTAACGGCGGCAATTGCATACCTCCAGACCGGCGTGTGTGGTGACAACGGTCAGTCCCATCCCTCCGTAGCGATGCTTTCTTTCGCTAACACATCCATGTAGGCGAGAACTGCCTCACTATCGAGACTACGCTCGTCAACCCGACCACGCCCGGCTCAGGCTCAAGCACGGACCTCACCCTCATCCCTCCTCATGCATTCCAGATCACGTCTGGTTTCGCTTACTACGGGGGATGCGATGGTGCGGGGGCAGACTGCACGTCTGGCTCTTGCTCTACAGCTTTCTTCCAGCCGGATGATACGCAGGTCCAGGTCGCTTGCCAGGCTGATAACGTATGTGGATCCTGGTAACTTACTCGGGTCCTGAAATATTAGCTGAGACGCATCTAGGTCAACCTCGTCATCACGTTCTGTGCTTGATTCGAGTACGCGGCTGCGATCGCGGGGAGGTGAACGTACGATGTAATGACATGAGCACGAGATACCATTCTTCTTTCTCCTTGATGACATCTTCAATGCACTGGAACTCTGATACAACCTGGGGAAGGGCGTGTGACATCTGCCTGAGGCGAGAACTCGGCTAGAGAATACGCAGTAGACCTATGGGCAATCATGAGGTATCAGAGCGTTCGGGAGCGTCCGACCCGCGTATGGACTCAATTGGCAGGCTCCAATGTTATACCTGCCAGGAGGAGGCTTACCTCCGCCATGATCGCCAAGAACACTCTGGAGTACTCGACGCGCGACACCGTCTATGACCAGTGCGGATGGGAGACGAGCATGAGCGCAAGTAGTTGATGATGCATCTATAAAAGACACATAAGGCAGGGACCGAACACCAGGGAAGAGCGTGGTATAAACATAGCAAGAGGATATAAGGATAGCAACGAGCGGGGTGTTATCGAACATAGGTAGGTGGTGGTTCATCTCCGTGCTGTCCACCCAGAAACCCTTGAAGTACACGATGCACAATACCCTCAATGACGGAGACATCCGCAGGATCTCCGGATCCTGAGCGCACGGGCGGCGAACTTGACGCGGGGTCGGCCCCAGCGCTTGGTGTTCGAGGTTGTCCGCCGTTACCCTGGAGTGTTCTCAAGACGACATCTTCGATGACACGAGTATGATCGCCTGGTGGCGCTGTTGTGGGAGGCGGCGCCTCGGTGCTACGAGAGGCTTCTGATGACGGTGGAGGGTGTGAGATGTCCAAGACATCTCCATCGCGCAGAAGAGTTGTGCTTGACGTTGCACCTTGACCACTCTTTTCGCCAAACAACATGCGCGCTTGAGGTGTGCCATGCCCAGGGAAAGGATCCACGACCTCGAAGTCGTCTATCTCCGGCTTGTGCGACCCTCGTGCGCGTCCCCGACGACGGCATAACCACAGCCCTGCGAGAAGAGCGAGCAAACCCAAAACTCCTCCGACCACGCCGCCTGCGATCGCCCCGGTGTTGGAAGACCGGTTTGACGCATTTCGCGCCCCAGTCTCTCCCGCAATTGCCGTAGATGACGAGGATGCAGTTGGGGAAGACGCAACGGAGTCGCTTCCTGACTGTGACAACATGGTGGTTGGAATGGCCGAAGCAGTGTTCTGGCCGCTCGTGGGAGACGACATAGATGCAGTGCCAGATGCCGCTGTCGACGAGCCGGCAGGAGTAGATGGGGTAGATTGTGAGGAATGCGACGACGACCCTTGGGTGCTGCTTGGCGTCGTGCTAGATTGCGGTGCAGGGGTGGAAGATTTGGGAGTGGCTTGTGCAGTAGTAGTTGTTGTTGTAGTGGATGAAGTAGTATCACCACCAGTGCCCGAGCTGCCCCTATAAGGCCCAGTTAGTACGCATGGAATGGTTATCGTGGAATTCGACGCACGAAGATGCACTACAATCGCAAAATGTCACGGCAAGGTTGACCTATCACCCCGTCAGTTCATTGAACGCGCACAGGGAGGGGAACAGGTTTGCGAACATCAGTGGATTGGCATGTAATGGTGGTAGCAGAGCTATCGGTTGGCGTCAAGAACGCTCCTGGGCAATCTGCCTCTGTACCTGCACGGGGATCAGCGTCCGTTCTTTATCACATTGTTTGGAGCGTTGTTCAGAATACTCACAGGCGAACCCAGTACCGTCACACCCATTGTAGAAGCTCATACACGACGCCACTGAGAAAGCATACCTAGACGCAGATGTCAGTACTGTAGAGCTTGATCACATAAATGGATTTGCGACGTACGGAGATACTAACGTCACGTCGGCCGCGGAGATTCCGTTAGACAAGGTGAGCTCAACGCCGGTGCAGTTACCGCCGTTGGTACTGCACGTATCTTTTCCCAAGATTTCAGCGCCAGCATATTATCCAGAGCATGACACACGTACCATAGTCGAGGTAGCTATATCCACATGTTAGCGTTGATCGATTCCGAATGACAATATAGACATACGCGGTTCCACCTTCTATCTGTCCATTGCTCGTGTAATCTGAACCCGTCGAGACTACGGAACCTTGGACGCTGAGCGTGGGCTAGACATGATGATTTCAGCGTTGTACATCGAGTCCAATCTCTTGGCGCTGACCGTCCCAAACCCGCAGCTGCAAGTGGTATTCGTCAGTCTCCAGGCCTTCGTCAACACCGCGAGCTACGCACTTGTTAATAAACGTTACAGTATGCGATTCAGCATTAGCAACAACGCCCAAGGAGAAGATGACGGCGGTGGAAAGCAAAGAGTGCATGCGAATAAAGGAATGACTATACAGCGGGCTGATGTGTCTACTGCTAGGTGAATGCCTCAGTACCCGACTCTCTTAACTAGGATTGACCACGTACGATGCGAATATCCCTCCAAACCAGCCAAAACCTGCGAATCAACCAATTCCACAGTATCTGGCGCGCACGACGGCGTCGCGACGGTCAAGAGCAAGCTGAGCAAGGCTGAATTACCAGCTCGGCTCTGGAGGTTCCGAGCCTACATTCAGTCGCAGCGGTCCGATCAGAATCATTGTTGGCGCAATACAAAGGTGCACATGGTCATCTGTGTACAGCGGTCCAGACTGATGGAATGGCGTAGTATCCCAGTCTTCGCGAGGGTGCAAGCCCTGCGAGCGATACAGGTATGGCCCGAGCTTCGTTGTATGGCACGTAGCAGTTCTAGTTCAGGAGGCGGACCGGTGTACACGATAGGCGGAATTGGCGCTCAGACGAGGTCAACGAAAACGTGATCCGATCAAAAGCTTAATTATCATGTATCCACTTTGAGACTCGGCGAGAGGCTTCTAATCAACGTGGATAGACGCACCACGACTAGCATTTCTACCTATCATTCTGGGTGAAGGACACGTCGTAGCTCAATTATGAGGGCGAACAAAACATTATACAAGGTCTGTACGGACAGGGCAACATGACGTCAGCGTACATAACTGGGCGGTGGTTCATCTCCATCGCGCCCGCCCAAGAACCCTTGCAGTACACGCTGTACAACGCCCTCGATGACCGAGACGTCCTCTTGCTCCGCGGCGGGAGTGTGCGGTGGTAGCTTGGGACTGGTGTACGCGCCGCGAGCTGCCGGCGAGGGGAGTCCCTCGGTGCCGTCACCCTGCAATGTCCTCAACACGACATCCTCAATGACGCGAGTACGGTCTTGGGGGGATCGGGCTGAAACTTCGTTGGGTAGTGACTGAGCGCTGAATGTATCATGAGGCGGAGGCAGTGGGTGCGAGATATCGAGGACCTCCGCCTCGCGGTCTCTAAGCAGGATGGAACTGGAGGTGGCATCCCCTCCCTTCTCCGCGAATAACATACGCGCTCGAGGTGGTAGGTCACCCTTGGGGAAAGGATCCAAGCCTTTGTACTCGTCTACATCCGGGTCGGAAGACTTCCTACGTTGACGTCGAAGGCAGAGGAAGAGCACGCCGATGAAAGTGAGCAGGCCGGAGATTCCACCCACTACACCGCCCGCAATTGCTCCAACGTTGGGTGAATGACTCGAAGCATCTCCTGAGTCGGATTCCCCAGCGATTGCTGTAGATGATGGATGATTGGTAGCTGAGCGAGCACTATTCGTCTGTGATGACCCAAGCGTAGTTCCGGTAGATGATGCGTTGGATGTTGCGGTTCCATTTGATGAGCCAGCAATACCACTATGTCAGACGGTGAGTATCAGCAGGAAAACAAAGAGTAAATCACCAACGTACGTGAATTGATCACAGTTGCAGAACGTTATGGCGACGTTAACCTATCGCGCTTATTGAGGGAGATCTAGGACGCAATGTTGATTCGCCGACCTACATTGTTGAATCCCTGACATCGAAGAATGGTTCCGGCAGAATCAGTGGGTTTCCGCCAGACTCCAGAGCAGTCCGATTCTGTGCCTGCAGAGTGTTATGTGTGAGTAAGTCAACCAAAAGGGATCATGCAGTAAACTGACATGAGAAGCCAAGGCCGTCGCAACCGTTGTAGAAGGACAAGCAGGTCGCCACGGAGAACTCGAAACTAAGCAAAGGATGACGTTCGTCTAGAAAGGGAAAATGAAGCACAACGCACGGAGACACAAGTGAGATGTCGGCGATGGAACCACCGCTATTTGTGAGGCCCAGTTCGGCGATAGTACAATTGCTGCCATCAGTACCGCAGGCGTCTGATACCTTCAGTAATAACCCTGAAAGACATGACTAGTAGATCACGCTCACCATAGTCAAGGTAACTAGGAGATTTTCAGTCCTATCTCTACTCAAAGGGAAGGAGTAGACGTACGCGCGAGCGGAACCTATGGAGCTATTCGTTGTATAGTCTGCGCCTCTTGAGAGCACAGAATCCGACCCGATGAGGATAGGCTAGATGGCGCAAGTCTAGCTTAGCGGTATATCGGCGCCATGTTATGAGTTCACTGACTGTGCCAAACCCACAGCTACCGAGGGTATACCGTCAGTCTCTGTCTTAGCGCACCACAACATAGGAGGACGGACTTGTTCGTAAATCGGACGGTGTGCGTTTCCCCGCGCACAACAGCCATCAAGAGTGCTACAGGCGTAACCCTACGGATCATGGACGGTGTCCGAAAAAGCGACTGTGAGTTGATCTTGTGCATCACTGTGAAGTCGACGTTTCAGCAGTCATAACTCTCTGCGGACAAACGGTGACGCACCTAGGAGCCCCATTGCCCCAAATACCAACCCTGTAGTGACAGAGAGCGGGTTCCTTGCTGTGAAGGCGAGAGGTAAGGTAGAGTGATACTCTCAGCTTCGGTAGGCCCCATTCAAACGCAGAAGCTGATCAGAATCATCGCAGGGTATGGGACTGCTGGCTTCTAGCACATGAAGTGTATACACTGGCCGATACTGATCAGACGCCGTAGATAGAACTACTTGGCGAGATGCGCGACCGCGGGACTGTCTCGTACAGTTCACGAATTGAAAGGCGAGTCTTGTTCACGGAGCGCATTGTGGTTCAAGTGCAAGTAGCACCAAGGCCGTAGCACGTTCCCGCTCGGCGCTCAGCCGTGATCCGATCAATGATTAACTTTCCGATGATGTCTCTGGCCACACTGGATTTGCCTTCGAACGACAACGACAACACGCATAGTACACTAGTTAACCATACATTACACACATAGACCGCCAACAAACATCCAAGTCCATAGAAGGGAATACGTCCGCCGAGAAAGCCATTATTTCGTCAAACTTGATCTCGAATCCGGCGACCCATCTCGCGGACCGAGCCAAAGATTGAGCATCTCGCGCGTCTCGTTGGCACATATTTCAGGATCACGGAAGACACGAAGAGGTATATGCGATGGCATCTCCAGCCTGGCCGACCAAACGCGTGTCTGGAGCTCCAGGCGCTTCTTCTCCGCGTCATTGAGCGTACTCGACAGGGAGGACGTGCTCGATGACGCAGCTCCATTCGTGTAACTCCCTGGCTCGCCATACACAGAGTTAGCTATCCTCGGAGAGCCGCCGCGGGAGGAAGGGATTTCCGGCAGCTGATCAGGCAGACTGCTGACAGGAGGGAAGTACGGGTTATCGCTGGCGCTGTTTGCGATGGGGCCAGTGGCGACCGCAAGGGGTGTACGCGTGCGTGGCGTCATCGCGAAGTTGCGCAAGCTGGGTACCGGCGAGCTGGGGGAGGGAGGAGCAGAGCCTGCGCGTATAGCTGCCTTATCTTCCTTGCTAAGGGTGGTGACTATACTGCTCGCCACAGATCCCTTTCGCGCGCCACGTGCGAACGGCGCCTCTGGGGGTTCAAGGGAGCGACGACGCGAAGCGCGTGCGCCCGTTGGGTCTGAGATACCAGCTCCACCGTCGTCGTATGTGTTCGCGTCACGAATGTAGACGGCGATAATCTGATCGGGTCGCAAGCGCGCCTGCTCCGCGTATAGCTCCATGTCCTGTTCACCGGAGTCACCCACGAGGATGAACCGGGAGTTGGGGAAGCTCGTGAGGAGATCCTCAACGCCTGCGCGTTTTCGTACAGCGGGTGCTGTGAGAAGGCCGTTGAACAGAGAGCGTGTGCCGTATGAGCGAAGCCGTATAGAGCCTGGAGGAAGATGCGCAAGTTGGAAGAACTCTTGGATGACAGGCAGAAGCTCGAATGGCCCATTAGACTGCGAACAGCATTAGCGTCGAGGCAAGGAAGGTATGCGAGAATCACTTACGACGTAGTGAAAGCGAACTCCCCGCTTCCACATCTCCTCGTACCAGGCACCCATTCCAGGGATGACGTTCTCCTGAAGATCTCTCACGAAGACGTTGTAGAAGACAGCGCGAGCACCAGAGAGGATGCTACTAAACTTCACGGTGTCGTCAATGTCCGATAGCACTCGAACTTGCGAGTTCGTGAGAGGTACTCGCTCCTCAGCTCCGGCGACCGGCATGTTGGGGGCGATAGTATGTCGTATCTTCTCCAAGGTTGCCGCACGACCAGTTTCTGAGGCCACAGATGGTAGCAACTCGGCTGAGACGCGAAATTCGGGTTCATGATCATGCGGCCCGAATGCGACGTGAATGCCGGCGGGGTGCGTGCAGAGCATCTCCCAGGCGATTGTGAACTTCGCCTGGAATGCGCCTTCTGGGGTGGTGGTGACGACTTGCGTCAAGAGCGGCGCCCCCAGCAGGTCCAATTCCTCTTCTGTCCTCCCACTCTTGTCGCTTTCGTCCACAGGGTAAAGCGATATTCGCACTTGACGCGCAGGAAGAGCAGCAGCCCAAAATGGATATAAGCGCGTCTCCAGATTCCGGTGTAAGCGCTTCACGCTTGAGGAACTGCTCGAGGGCGTTAACTGCGGTCTACTTTGTGTCGGAGTTGAAGGAGTCGAAAGAGACGGTGGTCGAGGAGTCTCGAGGTTGTGTAGGGCAGGCAGAGTCTCGGGCGAATGGAGTGATGTGTTGGAAAGCGTGCTCAAGACGCTGGACGAAGATGAATTGCGAGACTTCAAGTCGTGAAGGGCGCGCATCTCAGCCTCTACATCGAAATCATCTTCGGGCCTAGGAGGAAGGTCGGTCTGAGAAATAAGATCCTCGGTCGATCGCGAGAGTACAGGATCCGAGGGCCGCATCTTCTCGTCCAGCCTAGGTAAGGCTGCAAAGGCTACACAGAGTTGTAGTAAGTTCATGAATATGACATATGATGTGTTGTTGTAGCTCACATTTCGCGATCTTCATAAAGCCTTTCTGGGAGCGTGTCAGAATACCGAATTCGCGCTGCTTCACCGCGAATCCGGAGACATAGATCTCGATATTATAAGCATCTATGAGCGGGTTGATCAATGGTATGCCACAGTGGGGGACAACGGACATACCATCTCCATATTTGGGGTCATTCAAATATTTCCTCGATGCCCAACCAGGAAATAAGAGGACCCGTTCGGTGCGCACTCCCATGGCAGCTTCTGCGCCGACAAGCTTATCCGCGACCTTCTTCCCTGCTAACGCCCACCAAGGCTGCTTCTTTTCTACATTTGCTCGGGGCGCCTCCAGTGGTGGCGGTGGGCGCAGCGTCTCCTGTTGCTGTGGCGCCCGAGGTGTGCTCTGTGGAGATGGCCCGCGACTATCTCGCTTATAGTCGCGTTGAGAGACATACTGCCTTAGAGCAGAGAGACGATTAGGTCGGCCGTTGGTCGTCGCCTGCATGAGGGGAATCGATCCAGAATAGCGCAGAGTCGAAGATAATAGCGGGCACAGTTGAAGGTGCTGCGCCGATGGAGGTGGCGAGCGGGTAGTGGCGTGAAGTTTCCTTATAACGATACAGTACAAGTGGTGACTAGGACGAGGGTATACAGTATGTACAGCCGGTGAGCGTCAAGAGCGAGTTACGACAGGCATGATCTGTGGAGGCGCTGTTCGGCCGTTGTCCACGGTTGGCGTGTTGGGAAGGAGTTGCGGCCGTCGGTTTCGTCACTTCGGTTGCGCGGGCGCTGATGATGATCTTCTGTGCCAAATCCGGCGGACTTCGCTTTCCTCGAGAACCGTCACTACGCACGTTCAGACCATTCTGAGTCTTATATGCTGCACTCGCCCGCGGCCAAGAAGAACGACTATCTGCTACCCGCACGCGCAGATTCAACTACCCCGTATTGCACGACTCTCCACACCCTGTGATTCTCAAATAGTGGCGGCGAGCACTGGTGTGAAGACTTCACTTCGGATGCTGCGCAAGCGATCCAGACGTTCGTCTTCGAAAGCCTCAATATCCGCACTTGCCGGCGGCTTGATCCTGATTCTATTTCTGGTATTGCCTAGCGGGTGTTAAATCCCGCTAATTTGTAAGTGGGTGTCATAATGCTTACCAGATGGCGGATAACCCTTATCCTCCCCCGCTTTATTTCCTTACACGCATCTGCCAGTGCTGTCGTTACGACGCCCTCTAGTTCTGGATACTCGCTCGGCCCCTGTGAGACGACGTTGTACGTATTGCCGGCCTCGCTCGTGCGGAGGAAACGCTCAAAGAACTAAGAGCTCGAGCCATGTCTGCTCGCGCAAGAGCTTATCCGCCGTGATTAGCCAGCTGATAGGGTTATCGGGACCTTACGGGTTCCCCTTCGATAATATGACTCATATTCCATCAGCTGGTATGCCGCGGAATACAGGGTGGATTTCTAGTGTGTATCAAGTGCCTGTATATAGTGTGTGCACTGGTGAGCCCTCCCGTATTGTCTCCACCACCACCACATGTCTAACTTGACCTTTGGATCCTTCGGTCAGATTGCCCTTGCAGGCTCAGCAGCGCTCAGCTCTCTCTTCTCGACCCCGCAAAACCTGAGCGTCAAATCTATCGACCTCGGCTACGCGAGATACCAAACGGATGTGAGCCTTGCGGAAGGCGTCACTAGCTTTCTTGGCATTCGCTATGCAGCGCCACCTACAGGTCAGTGCATCGCATACGCTACTACGACTGCTTGGCTGATATGCCATACCTTCTATGTAGGTGATCTACGCTTCCGTGCTCCACAATCGCCGGCGACTACGGAAGAACTTCAACTGGCGACGTCGCAACCGCCAGCTTGTTGGCCAAAAGATGCATGGACCGCGGCTTCCCCGAGCGAGGATTGCCTCTTCGTGAAGTGAGTCTCAATCTCACAATACGACGAGAATAATGTGATGACCTTTTCAAAGCGTACATCTTCCAACGCAAGTTGATACCAATCAGTGTGCTTCCACATTGCCTGTTCTTGTATGGTTTCATGGTGGAGGGTGCGTGGTAACTTGTGCCAGGACTCGCGACCTCTATTGACGCGGGATCAGATATGTGCACGGAAGCGCTGCATGGTATCCCGCTGAGAAGCTCGTTCGCGACTCAGGACACGGCCTGATTGCGATCAACGTGCAGTACCGCGTGGACGCTTTTGGTAGATATTTGTGAGTGTATAGCTCGTACTGTCGCTGACGTCGACCTTTCACAGGGTTCCTCGCCGGCAAAGATGTTAAAGAGGACGGTGACCTCAACGCCGGAATCCGTGAGTACATGTACCAACTCGTCCTGCGCAGGAGTGCTAATTTCTGGGTAGTGGACCAGAAAGCCGCGTTGGAGTGGGTCCAGCAGAACGCGCGGGCGTTCTGTGGCAACCCGGATAGGGTTACCATTTTTGGTCATTCAGCGGGAGGAGGCTCAGTCTTGCAGCATCTTATCGCGTACGGCGGAGAGTCGCCACAGCGGCTCTTCAAGACCGCCATGATGAGCTCCCCCTACCTCCCACCACAGTACAGATACGACGATGCGAAGCCAGAGGAGAGCTATCGTGCGCTGGCAGAGAAAGCAAAGTGTGTTCAGCCAGCTCTATCTGGACCAGCATCTTACTAACTAATGCACACTAGTTGCCCTATCAACCATGACACCTTGTCCTGCCTGCGCTCCATTGACGCTCAAACACTCCGAGATGCTTCGGTCGCACTCAACGGCAGACCGCTCCTCACGAAGTTCCTTCCTGTGATCGATGGGTCTTACATCGTTGAGCGTGCAACGCTCACCCTAGGGAAGGGAAAGGTCAACGCGGTAAGGCTTGCTATTCCCGACACAGGGAGCCGATGATCCTGACTGTTCTCGCAGGAAACCCTCATAGTCTTGACGAACACGGACGAGGCTGCCATCTTCACCCCGGCGTCCGAGGTCGAGGAGACTGTGGAGATCTACATCTCGAAGGTGCTCCCTGATCTGCCTGAGGCAAAGGCGAAGGAGGCTGCGTCATTCTATAGCGCCTCAACTCCGGAGGAAGTGCATAGAGCTACAACCCAGCTCCGGAGTGAATGTACGTCGGCTCAAGTTATCTTTCCGCGTCGCGTTCGACTGACAGTTGAGCCAGTCTTCCTCGTTTGCCCGGCTTACTGGATCGTGGACGCATTTAAAGACAAGACCGCGTGGAAGGGCACCTTCGCCATCCCACCGGGTATTCACGGACTTGACCTCAACTATGTCTTCAAAGAGTGTGCCACTATCTTTGCATCCGTTGGTCCATAGCGCTGACAGGAAGACCCTAGTGCTGACATATACCACCAGCCAGTCAGCTTCCCCAATGAGGACTTCGGACGTGCGCTGCGACACGCATACCTAGGAACTGCAACTGGTTTAGGCCCTACTGCGGCAGACGTAGTCACACCTCTGTGGCCCGTATACAGCTACGGTGGCGCGCATACCGAGATGTTGTTCAACAAGACCGAAGACGGGCAAATCGACATCCGTGCCTTCCAAACGGATGTGGGTCTTCTTCAGCGTTGCAAGTGCGTATCTACGTCTCAATCTCCATGACCCCTTACTCATTCAACTCCTCAGCTTTTGGCACAGCGTTGCAGAGTATAGCTCACAGTAGAAGTGCTGCATAAGGACTCAAAGTACTGTACACGTGATTCATACAACGACACCATCGAGGATTGCCTTGAAAATATCATACGTGGGGCGCGTTGGCGTTTTATACACTGCGAGCACAATGTGCTTGAACCATCCCCTAAACTCTTCTTCCATGAGAACCGACTTCATCTCGCTAGCCACCTGCTCCGGAGGACAAGCATAGACACCACATCCTAGCGGACCTGCATGTGACGCACATGAGAAGTGAATGGCGCCTCATGAGTGCAACAGCTCACCAAGAACTATCGCATCCCGCTTTTCGGAGCCTGCAAGACGGTATATGAGACGAATCTTGGCTCTCAGATCCTCGAGGTCGCTCTCGCGCGCCAAACGGGAACCGTCCGGCGTCAGTTCAGGCTTGCGCGGCCCAGCCACGGTAATGACTGACAGCACAACACGATCTTCAGGTGGAAGGTCGACGCAATCGTGAACCAGATCATCCTTGAAGACGACGACAGCTGGAGAGTATATGCCAGCTACTGAGCCAGGGCCGAGGTTGGGCCACGGGTAATACTCCTCCTTTAAGGTCGCATATAGGGTGGACGAGTAGCACAGCGCTTCTTCCTATTCATGCATCGGGGTACATGTGCAATGTAGATAGAGAACGCGTACCTGTGTGCGCGTCAGATATTCCAGCCATCCGCCAGCTCGTCTTTCATCGCTCGCTAGGTTCAAGACAGCAACTTGAGAGGCGGGTTCAGCACGCAAGATATCTCGCGCGCAGACGAAGCTGTCCCGCCCGTCTACTCTGATCGCAGCTGGAGGGTAGTGCGGACATGCCGATGGATCAAGAGGCACTAGCGGGTTACGATAGTCGACTGCGTCGGGAGGAGGCGCGATAAACCGACTCTCGGTGGAAGCGCCCGGCATGGAAGCGATTATGGAGTCTGTTCGGGCCAGTGTGTCCAAGGCTATCCGACGGCGGGTTTCTGTATCAGACATTGTTGCAGTAGCAGTACATGGAAGTCGCAAGCTTGGACGGCCGCGCGCGCAAGCAATGAAGCGTCGTACGATGGTGGTGGTCGAGCGCAAGAGCATCCAAGGGCTCCTGTCTTCTGGGACGACTGTGGCGACCCAGGGCTGGCATGAATATCGCGACGGTCACACAGATGATGATAATCCTCTCAACGCCTATGTATATTGCAAACACAAAACACAAGCAAACACTTCAGAGTCGTACACAGTATAACGAATGCAAAACTCCGAAGCACGAAACCGAAACCTGATGCAGGGAAGATGGGGGATGAGAAAGAATCGCGAATAGAAACTGTAAATAAAGATATGCGCAAGTGGAGAATGCTCTAACAAATCGTCTCGAAAACTGGTTGATGTCTGGCGGATGGGGGTGCGTGTGGGGGGAACAAAGTACTGACTACACATGTATAGTAAGATGCGGAGACACGGATTGCACGATGCACGATGATGAATGTAAGTGGGAGCAGACTATGAGGACCATGGGTATACGTTCTGTCGGAAACCGGGGTATGGGTGGGGAGTGACAGTAAGTAGACTACATTGGTCCGTGGGATGCTGCTCCGGGCGGCCCTGCCATCGAGCGGATGATGTTTGTATCTCTATAGATCAGCATTAGGGCATGATATGGATATGGATAGCGTTGCGCGCGATGAGTCGGATGTGTGATGTTCCAGAGGCGGGATCAGGGATGAGGTGCGCGTTGGCACAACGAAGTGGACGCGCGGGGGTGACGCATGGGGCGCGCAAACGATAACCGGATGACACAAACAATGGGTGGGGGAACTAGAGTAACGGTGGCGGGCGTTGTGTAGAATCGTGCGAGGCCAGACGAGAGCGAGACGATAACAGATGAGGCGAGGTGAGAGCAGCGCATGGTCATGAGGCAGATTCATAAAGGTCCTGAGCGAATAGATGCAATGGAAGCGAAGCGTCGACTACCGCGGTGCGGACGATAGCATGGTGGGGTTTTGCGGTGATTTTATCACCGCGGGTCGGCATGGGGCGAAGTTCAGAAGGCATAGGACATAGGCGAGAAGGCGTTGAGAGCGTGTGGGGTGAGGCATCTACCAGAAGCCGCCGCCTCCACCACCACCGCTGTAGCCTCCGCCGCCATAGCCTCCACCTCCACCTCCGCCGTACGAGGGGCCGCTGCTGTAGCTCGCAGAGCGGTTGCCACCAAAGCCACCACCTCCACCGCTGAAGCCACCACCCTGGCGAGCGTCGCGGCCACCGAAGCCGGCACCACCGCGACGGCCTCCTCCGCGACCACCACGGCCACGGTAGCTACCGCCACCGCCGAAGGTGCTCTCGTGGGCGACGGACTCGAGCCAGTCAGGGATCTCCTGGTTGGCCTCGCGGAGAAGCTCAACGAGGTCGCGGACGATGTTCTTGTTGCCACGGTTGAAGAAGGCGGTTGAGATACCCGTGTTTCCGGCACGACCAGTACGACCAATGCGGTGAACGTAGTCGTCGATGTCGGACGGCAGGTCGTAGTTGATGACGTGGGTCACGTTCGGGATATCGAGACCACGAGCGGCGACGGCAGTGGCAACCATAATGGGCGTGCGACCGGTACGGAAGGTCTGGAGAGCCATCTCACGCTCACGCTGGGTACGGTCACCGTGGATCGAAGTAGCCGGGTAGTTGTTCGTGAGCAAGAAGTCGGAGAGCATGTCGGCCATGCGCTTGGTCTCCACGAACACGAGCGTGAGACCGCTGTCACCCGTAGTGATGAGGTCGAGCAGAACGGAGCGCTTGTCCTGGTCCTCGACGTACTCGACCTTCTGGGTGATGTTCTCCGACGTGGAGCCGACACGACCGACAGAGAGGAAGATGTAGTCCTTGAGGAAATCCTTGGCGAGCATCTGGATGTCGCGTGGGAAGGTGGCGGAGAACATCAGGGTCTGGCGCTCATGGACGCCAGGCATGTCCTCGCCCTGAACGATGCGACGAATCTGGGGCTCGAAACCCATGTCAAGCATGCGGTCAGCCTCGTCGAGAACGAGGTAGCGGATGTTCGCAAGACTGATACGGCCACGCTCGATCAGATCGACAAGACGGCCGGGAGTGGCGCTGAGAAGATCGCAACCACGTTCGATCTGACGAAGCTGCTGGTTGATGTCTGCACCGCCATACACGACAGCCGGGCGGACCCAGGAACGGTAGGCAAACTTGCGGGCCTCCTCGTGGATCTGACTGACGAGCTCACGGGTGGGCGCCAGGACAAGCGCAGTGGGGTAAGCCTTGCGACCACGCGAGTACGAGTGTCCAGTGTCGGCCGGGGGAGGCAGAGGGCCATTCGCGAACGAAGCCGAGAGAATCGGGAAAAGGAAACCGCCCGTCTTGCCAGAACCAGTCTATGCATGATAATCAGTTTGACGTCGCGCGGACGGAACAAGGGCCATTGCTGACTAACCTGAGCGCAGGCCATCAAATCGCGCTTAGCGGCGACGATGGGGATAGAGTACTTTTGGACGGGCGTCGGGGTGGTGTAGCGAGAGCTGGCGATGTTCTCAAGGAGGACCGGGTCGAGAGGCGGGTTCGTGAACTCGTTCACCGGCTCGGGAACACCCGCGCCGGTAGCCTCGACGGGAATATCGTCGTACTTTTCGAAGTTGATACCGGTGTGCTGCTTCGACGGGTCGGCAGCGTCGCCGTAGAGCTCTTTCTCAGTGCGCGGGTTGCGCGGGCCGGGGACGTGCTTCCCATCGCGCCAAGAGCCGTAGCCATCGTTACCGCGGTTGCCACCGCTGTAGCCACCACCGCCGCCGCCAGACCAGCCGTCACGGGGTCCGCCGCGGGGAGCACCACCGAAGGAGCCGCCGCGACCGCCGCCATAGCCGCCGCCAAAGCCACCACGAGAAGGAGGGGGCCCGCCCCATCCGTTCCTTTTGATTGATCATGTCAGCGGAAAATTTGATGGAGATAAGAGATGCCAGCTCACCCAGCGCCAGCGCCAGCGTTAGCGTTAGAGACGGGAGGGATAACAGGGGAAGACGCGGCCCGCACGTTACGCATGTGCGGGGGAACATAGGCAGACCTAGTGCCATTGACGCCGAGAGAAGCTATGTGGGGTACAATTCGTCAGTTCGGCTGTAAGGCGCTTCAGAAACATACAAAGAAAAGCACGTACCGAACCGGTCTTCTAAACCAGTAGAGTTGTTGGGAATTCCATTACTCATATTATGGAACAGAGAAACGAAACAAGCGGTTTTGTCTATGTGAGGGTGATGAGGGTTGTGTCCAAAGACGACGAGGCGTCAAATTTGCAGCGGAGCTTGGAGTAGAGCAGCCGTGACCGGGGTGTGACCGGACGCTCCCGCGTTTCTCGGCCCGATCGTCCGAACCGACGTGGCTCTCAAGTTCACAAGTCGAACGCGTTGCTTTCTCATACACCGACCATGGCACAACCCGCACCCGCCCCGCCGCCTCAGCAGCAGCAGCTTCCTCCGGGTCTCCCGGCCAACTTGCAAAATCTCACGCCGCAACAACAGCAGCAACTGCTAGCCCAAATGCAGCAGGCTCAGGCCCAGCGCCAACAGGCCGCCAACTTGCCCAAACCCGATCCAAGGCTACAGGCCGCCATTGAGGCATCATTCGTGCCTGTTGACATCGAACTCACCGAACCGGCCAACTCCAACGTCAAGTGTGGGCCGCATAAGTTGGAGAAGTGTGATGACTGTGGGGTGGACTTCGTGGACTTGAACCGTATCGCCAAGATCTTTGTGTCCAACCCCAACTTGAGATGTCCACCGCCGCCAAACGTGATCACGAAGCAACTGTCGGATGTTATTAACAAGACGAAGGAGGAGGGGAATGTACGCATTGTCACATCCGAATACTTGATCTCTTACTGAAACGAAGGTCGTAGACTCTATTCCGGACACGTCAACATGGCCCCGCAATCCAACGCTACACACAAGCCGCCAACTTTGCCCTCCAGCGCCCACCATGGGAACCTAGTGCGATTGTGCGCGAGGAGGTCTCTACCATCATGTCCAACCGTTCGGCGTCTTACTTTGAGGCTGGCGAGTTTGTAGCGGCATTGTGCGACGCGGAGATCGTCATTCAGCTGAAGAAAGGGTGGTCGAAGGGGTACTTCAGAAAAGCAAAGGCGCTGGTGGGGTTAAATGACCTTCCGGCGGCACGGGAAGCCATTGTGGAGGGATTGATGTTCGAGCCGGATAACAAGGTATATTCTGCATCTTTCCTCGGTACGAGCGGCTTGATTGACGCGGCTTTCAGGATCTCATCGGCACGCTCGGGGATATTGACAAGGCTTTGGAAGCGAAGTCTATCGCAGATGCGCCGCAGGCACCGGCTCCTTCAGACGCATAACTTATACCCGTTGTATATGCATTCGGTGTTTTCGATCGCTTTCGGACATTGTTGTACAGTCACGATGAAGTTATCTCATCTATGCGGAACGCAGCGTGCACACCAATATCAAGAAGCACATCCCCGGGTATCATGGTATAGTATGAGAGCCGATAGCCCTGCGAGCTGAGCTTCAGGTTGGTCCCCATCCTCCGTCCATCGCGCCACCGCCCACGGACGCCACTCCAGTGGCTGATATCCCACTGCTCGGTCCCATATTCTGCACAGTCGCCGAGGATTTCATATCCTTCTCCTGCCTCAACTGCACGTATACGAACGTCGTGACTATCTCGTCCAGGTCCTCCAACACCTGTACACTGTCGGCGATCTCCAGACCTGCTGGCTTCGTTTCGCCCGTGCTCCAATCCTTCCTTGGGACGGACCAGCGTGCAACCGCTGGACCGTCACCGGGTAAACACAGCTGAAGCGGAATTGCGTCAGATCACTCGGTCGCACATGGCGAAGTGCTACGCGTACCTGCCAATCGTCCTCATCTGGCCTCCATTCGTACGCTTGCCCTGACGACGTGCAGAAATTCCGCTGTCTGTACTCAGAGTATATCAGTCTCCAAGTCATGCGCAATCAAGTAGCTCCGTAAGCTCAACGCACCGCGTGAAATCAGAAGCGCCCGACGGTTTGACCAGATACTCGCTCCCGACCTTCATCTCGAGGTCCCTCTTCCTATCCACATCCTTCAACGTGATCCTATCGCTCCTCACAAGATTGAAGTCAATCGTCGCCACACTCTCCCCATGGTCGATCTCGTCGCCCTTCGTCCGCTCAATAGTGGTCGTACCCCCGAAGCGAGACGTGGAGATGGTATACAACGGACGCCCGTCTGATTCGTCCAGGAGAAGGGTATCGCGCAGCCCGTGTGTGGAGGAGGGTATAAGACGCATCGCCACGACCATGTGCACGCGCGTTCTAGGGTTCAAGGGCACTGGGACTGGGTATAAAGTGAAAGCGGAACGGGACCGCATACGCAGATGCGGTTCTTATATCTCCGGGCACGACGTCAGGGCGCCGGACGGGCGGACGGGAAGAAATAGGGGGACTCGCTTCCTTGCTCCAAATTCCAATCATCTCGGGCATCCCGAAGCGTACACCGCTGAGAACGATCACCACGCAGTGTTGTGTGTTGCCCTGTGCTATAACTACCCTCAAACTGTAACTTACATACAAGCCCGTATCGCATCCCCCACATCCGGCGAACTTCACCCGTACGGTTATCCTAGTATCTACGCACGTCTCGCTCCTGCCGCAATTGCATGTAGACGAATGTCACGACGATCTCATCCACGTCCTGTGCGCGGACGTTGTGCTCGTCGATCTCGAAGGCTGTGACCAGATGCTCCCCGCTCTGCCAGTCGTGCGAGGGCGCGGAGGACCACGCCACGGGTCCATAGCCTCCTTCCGCGTAAAGCTGTTCGGCATATGAGGACAGCATCCAAGCACCCACTACACTTACGCACCTGCCAGTCATCTTCCACTGGTTTCCATTCGTATTTCTGTCCGCTTCCCGCGACGAACGATCTCTGCCTGCGCATCGCCATCAACCGCGCCACACGAGCAACAAGCGCGCGAGAAGCTCACCTCGAGAACTCGCTCGCGCCCGCCACCTTGCACAGATAATCGTTTCCGACCCTCTTCTCCTTCTCCTCCCTAAAGGCGATTCTGTCCGAACGAATCGAGCCGAAGTGCAGGGTCCCTATCGTTTCGGTCTCCGCCTCAGCCGTCTCGTGCTCGACCGCTCGTTCGATGGTTGTGGTTTTGCCGAAGCGGCTGCTGGAGATGGAGTAGACTGGCCGCCCATGCGAGTTCACGAGCTCGGTATCGCGTAGGAAAGGCGTCGAGAGCGTCAGCTTCATGTTGACGAGGCAAACCAGCGGGTGCGTAGTGTATTTGGGTGCCGGAGTGTTCGCTCGAGAACTTATATCAGGTGCTAGGCTATGTTCCTAGGAATGCGTTCACGATGATATGGACGCGGAAGCGGCTGGTTCAGATGTCGAGGTGGAGATCAGGTCCCCGATCCCGACAACCGCCCTGGACAAATCTTAAAGTATATTTGTCCGTTGACAGTTGACAGCGGCCGTCAACGGGCATGTCGGTCTCGTACCTCGACGTCATCCCGCGGGCCGTGTTCGAACGTACATAGCTGTACTCGCGGCAGCAGACTGGGGTCCATTGTACTGGATATGCGCAGTGGCTTCATTGGGCATGCTGGTTGGATCACGGACTGTTGACGCCCAACGAGATGTAAAGTTCGGTGTATAGTCCAGTGCGGCTGATCAAGATATCTCGCCCCGTCCATCGTATTGCACTGGTTGTATCTTCGGATCCTTGCAATGCTAGTAAAGGACCTCGATCTCACATATCCGTCGAACTGCCAATGCCACTGTCGAAGAAGCCACCACTACTACTGTCACTGATCCCCACGCCCGAGTCAGGCAAGTCCACTCCGCCACCTGCCATTCCCAAGCCACTAGAACGCTCTCTCCTACGCCTCGTCACGTCATGCTCATGCCTGAATCGCGTGTATACGTATATCACGATGAGATCGTCCAACGAGTTCAGCACACGCGGGTCGTCGCTAAACTCGATGAAGGATGGGTTAGGCGTGTCCCCGTTGAGTCCTGGCAAGTACACGTGCGAACGGCCGACCTCGGGACCGTCAAGGAGGGAGAGCTGAGCATGGCATCATCAGTCAACGTCTCAATATCTGCTCGAGATGACTTACTCTCCAGATGTTCGCCACCCATTGGCATACAAACTTGGTACCGTTCGCAAGGACGAACTCTCTGCGACTGTCAAATACACTCGTCAACTATTGCAGTTCGCACTCGATGAAAACTGGTACGCACTTTGAATTCAACACCGGCCTTTCGAGGAAGTCCGTGACCTTGAACTTCTCCCCTCTCAGGGTCAGATAATCGGGACTAAAGTTGTGGAAGTCTATGGTGGCGAAGTTCACGGGTGTCGGTGCTGTAGGTGTGCACTTGAGGATTTGCGTATGGCGCAAGTATGTACTGGATGAGGTGGCGTAGAGCGGACGATTGTGCTCGTCTGAAATCACTGTATCGGTGACCTTGGTCGAAGAGAAGTAGAGGCGCATGGTGTAGACAAGATCACTGGATGCTGAGGACCGATTGAGGGCTGGTAGACACGCTTTAAGTATGCCACACTGCTCTTGGCTCTCGGCGCAAACAAGCCCGGCCGATGATCGCGCACTGGTGTATCCCCTTATGGGTCGGTTGAACAACTTCTCGTATTGATAGCAATGCAGTCTTGATAATCCATCCGAGCTGTACACGTGAGTGGTGAAGCTTGCCAACCACTCCAAGATGATCCTACTACATGCGAATCATCACGTATTGACAGCCGCGTTTCGTCTCCGTCTTTGCTTCACTTGTCGAATTCGGAGGTACACAAAGGTAGCCACGAGCTCGTCGAGACTGTTTAAGACATGAGGGTCGTCACTGAACTCGAGATAGGGTGGGTGTCTATCGGAGAGCAGGCCCAGTGAGCGCGAGTGTGATCGACCGACTTCGGGGCCGTTCAGCAAGGAGACCTAAAGAGGTGTTGGCACGAGGTAAACGACAGACATCAGTAGATGCACTCACCCTCCACGTTGTCAGGCCATCTTCTTGCCACTCGAAAGTTGTGCCATCTGCGGTTGTGAACACTCTCCGGCTACATATTGTAAGCGTCAGCTGACGTAGTCTAGTAAGCTATCAGCGCTGACGAACGGACCTTGAAAGCCATGAAGGTTTGACGAGGTACTCTTTCGCAGCAAGTTCTTGCCCGCGCAATGTGATGGTATCCGGGCTCCAGTTGTGAAAGTGCACCAGAGCAAGGTTTGAAGGATTCGCCGTTCCCGGGCCGAACTTGAGAATCTCCGTTCGGCGCACTAGCATGCTCGACGTTGTCGCGTACACCTGACGGTTCTGATCGTCTGTGAAGACAACATCGCTGACATGGTCCGAGGAGAAGCTGAGGCGCATGGTGGTGGGCGAGGTTGTCGGGCGGCGGGCGAGGTGGTATGGCGGCCCTATATATGTTGAAGTGGGTAAGACCTGGTGAGACTCAAGCGCGCGCACCACCTGTTGTTGATAGTGTATGGTACTCATCATACAGGCCCCACGATTGTCCGTGCGACGCGCCTAGCCTTTCCCAGTCACAGCATGCTGTGCGCTTCTTGGGCGCTTCATACGATACTTGTGGCTGGTGAAGTCATCGTCTAGCATGGGCATGTCTTCCATCCACGCCGAATACAACTCCTGAAGGCTCCTGAATCGGGCAGTATCGGGCGTTCGCGTCCATCTCTTCCAAGATCCCCTCGAAAACCCCTTTGCGCAATATCTTCCATGATGCACCCCCGCACGTTCGAGCGCCCATACACCGGATCATTCGCTTTGGCGAGTTGGTGAATTCGTCGTACTGATGGAGGACCAGTCCGAGCTATACACCAGCTGCACGCTGATACGAGACCGAGCATTTGTACGCCATATACTAGATGGCATCTCCGTTTCGACCGTTCGCGGCCGACGAATTCGTGGTTGGAAGCAAGACGCGCCTGCCTTGCCTTCAACCACCACCATCATTTCATCTCACGGCGTCCCCCAATTAGAGCGCTGCTCACTGACGCTTCACACATACGCACGTGTTTTTCCTGATATAGAGTTGCGTCGTAGAATAGCTTGAATACACTGGCCCCCGGTCATTTGCTGCGCTTCGTGGCTGAAAACTCTACTCGACGCCACGGGCAACCCTAAATCATTGCGTTCCAGTAGCAGAGCGTCCGAGATGTCGTAGCGAATAAGGAGACCAATATATTGCGTATATGATACAAGGAGGACCGTTGCCATTGGCGGCGCTAGTCGTTCAGCGCTGCTGAAGACAGTATATGTACAACCACATGCAGGTGGTCAGAGTGGTTCCGTGCCCACTGAAGAAAACGAAGCACCATCGAGGGGCTATGAACATCCACATTACAGCTTGATCTCCGAGAATCGTGATAGTTGGAGATCATCGTCAAGAGGCGTGAGCGGCAGATTCCTGTAAGACCAACGATCAGGCGCCAACTTCGATGAGGAAGAACGATCCATGTACGCACTTGTGCCCCTTTGACTCCCACTTCAGCTGAAAGCTCTTCCTCTCTTCCGAGCGCGGCCTCTCCATCCTGAAGAGAGCGGGACTAGAAGGGCCTCTTCCCGCATCCGTGCGTTGGGATGGTGCTTGCTTGCCGGGAGCGGCTTGGACCAGCGTTGCTGTAGAACCCGTCCCCGTAGATGAGCTATCGTCGTTCATTCTATGCTTCCATCCCCGTAGATCCACCGATACAGGCGCGTCGAAAGTTGTACGCATCTCCCTCTCGGGCCCCAACCTTCCCTGCTCACGCATGTACGTCTTCGATGGAGCGCGCCGCGAGCGCCTCCGGTTGAAGAACATCACAGATAGGCTGATCGTAAGAGCGCAGATGGAGAGGAATGCGGCGACGCTGACAGTGGCGAGTCCCGCGATTGCGCCAGTCGAAAGATGCTTGCGTTCCGATTGCGAGGGTAAGGGTGTAGGGTTGGTAGTGATGGTGGGCGCTTGCAGAGCTGTCTGTGCTGCGAGAATAATGAATGATGGTGTTGGGCGGATGGCCGCAGACATGGTGAGATTTTCGGTCGTGGCAGCCAGCGAAGCCGCAAGAGTGACGATATCGTTTGTCGGGGCCATGAGAGCAGAAATGAGCGTGTTGAGAGTCGTGAGCTGCACAGCAGAGCGAGTCGGTGAGAGGGAGAGAATGCGACGCTACAGAGCCTGTCCGTAGAACCTGGGGGAGGTGAAGACGCAAGAGAAAAAGAACCGGCTCTTATATACCGCACGCCTGGTGTGGACCGAGAACGCCGCGTTGCTCAACCACAGGTCCGTGCATTGACACGAGGTCTTTGAGAAGGAAAACCACATCGGGGGCTTGCGGTTTGATCAGTGGCACAATGGACTGCAAGGACATCAAGAACAATGGTAGATGGCCATGCGTTACTATAGTGCCCCATTGTCAGCTTGAAGACCTGCGCAAGTGGTAGATCGTAATGTCTGAAGGAATTACTGGCATATCTGGCCCCGAATCTCAGTGGGAAATGGCCAATCCGAAGCTATAAAGTGCGGGAACGAAGACGTCCAGCCGGCCGTTTCCGCTGACCAGGATTCTTGACGTATCCAAACGATTGGTAAAGCGTAACCGACATTTCATAAGCTCAAAGCGCTTATTCGATGGAGCGCTGGATATAGAAGTCACGATCAACGTCGTGATGGTGGCGAGCAGCAAGACGCGACGCGACGTTTGCGAAACGACGCGCCGTGACGCGCTGCTGGCTTGCCTCTTGCTCTCATGCGTCGAACACACACCGTCCTCCACCAAGCTCTCCGCGCAGCCAGTAGGAACACCGCCGATAGCTTCGAACACCATACGACATCTGCGAAATTTCTTGCGGCATCTCAGTCAATATCTTCCATACCAGAACTACATGGTCTCCCCGAGGTGCATTACGTTCTCCGAGACTTCTCATTACTAGAATGCTGAAGCGTGGCCAGTAGGTTGTAGTAGCCGGTACGTAAGATATTGAACCGCTGTCTGGGAGTCAACCTCATCACCAAAACCAGGACGGGCTAACGCGGGCAAGTCAACGCTGCTAAATGCGGTTATTGGTCGCACGACAACGCCACTGATGCATTCAAGTAAAAAAGCCGTGCGTCCCGTGAAGCTGGTATCATATTAACTGTACTGACGGGCGCAGGGTAGAACGCGTGCATTGAACTTCTTCTCTATCGGCCCGTCAGCCCATGGTCGACTAGTACTCGTTGATGCCCCCGGCTATGGGCGCGTGAGCAAACAGGAGTGGGGACAACTATTCGAACATTATCTCGAGTATCGAACACAGTGTGTAACAATAATCACCTATATAGTGCAGAGGCTTACGTCTACGTAGACTGCGTCGAGTGTACGTGCTGATCAATACGCCGCACGGCATTGGCAAGAGCGACGCGCTCTTCCTGGAGATGCTTGACGCCCTCACGCAGACGGGCTCTCTTCCGTGGACATATCAGGCCATATTCACTCAAATTGACCGTTTGACACCCGCCCAGATTGGGGAGACAGCCAAATTGAAGGAGGAGTTACATAGACTCGCGCCGACATGCCTCCCGCCTCTCTTCACTGCATCAATGAAGCCCAGGTTGGGCATCGAGACCGTTAGATCCTCAATACTGGAAGCTTGCGGGCTGACAACCCTGGACTAGTCTTATCTGGACGTACTTCCTCGTCTAACCTATTCCTATGACCTACATACCTCCTGTATAATTGGCTGATACGATGCCTGTCAATCACATCGACTTGCTCGTCTGGTTGACAGTCTTGATGCCTGCCCGACCGTTACAAAGATTAATCTCATTCCAACCAAAGAGAGGTTATGATACAAGCAAGTGGATACTGCCCGAAATACATCATTCCTGCGTGTTAGACATATACTGACGAAGTGAAACATCTCAGCGTGGTTTATGAGGGTCGTTCTTCAACCTCTTACACCTCAGCTTATGGTTGCCCTCTCGCCAGTCTCTACACCGTATGTCAGAGCCTGATGTTGTAGAGATACTTGACTGGCTCACCTTTGCTGGCACAGTCGAGAACAATACCGCGTTTCGGCACAGCCAACGCACGCTCGAGTCGGGTGTGGTGGTTTCTCCACATGGTAATCGCATTCGACCCATGCGCACATCTGTGCCGCCTTCTTCATCTCCCGTTCGAAGTCCGCCTTCTCGCTCGCTTCGTCGAGGTCCAATGCCCGCCCAAGCCCCTGCCAGGCTGGGATGAGATCTGTGCACTTGCGTGAGGTTCCGCGATCACGAAGCGGCTGCTGGCGAAGCCACTTCAGTACCCTATACCACTCGCGTCGCGTCGCCTGTCGAAGTGATTTCCTGAGCGTGTTCTTCCCCGTACGAAGACCAAGTGCAACTGCTATGCGGGTATAAAGCTGGATCATCTCCACGCATGTCGCTGTGATGGCGTATTAGCAGGATACGAGGGGCATGTCAATTGTATTCGCTCACGATCACCGTCTTCAGCAGTACCAGCCTTGACATACACGATGCACGAGCGTGATATGAACTCGATCACATCGAAATGTCAAACTTGAATCAAAGGGCTCGCGGCGTCATTGGTGGGTGCCTCCTCGGTTATGTTCCTGCGTAAGCGTCAAAACCAGTTATGTGAGTGCATTCAGTTCAAGTGAAGACCTACGTTAGAGCTCTTAGAGCTGCTTCCATAAGGGCCCAATGCTGGTCGTCCTCGAGGGACACGCACGAGTCAAGCATATACCTTAAGGACTCGAAAAACCCCGAGGAGGAATAGTGTGGCCAGAAGGGACGTAGCGCGATCATTTGTTCTAAGCCCTGCAGGAGACGTTCTTGATAAAAATGGTCCGGAAAATCTTCACGCCTTAGGTAGCCGCAGAGTCTAGTCAGAAAGTTGAATGGTCCTATCAACTTCATCACCTCATTCTCGAGGAAATCACTGCAGTCTTCCACGGAAGAGCTCGAGAGAATTTGGAGCGTGGCAGTTATCAATGCATCGGCTGGCCAATATTCGTCTGGTGTCGAGTACCACCACACAATGGTGGCCATTCGTCTGTAATGAGCTGTGGCTTCTTCGCTTCCCATACTGAACCCGCCGTCGCCCGCCGCCGCGCCGTAGGTTGGTAAGGACATATTGAGTAGGTGTTGCATGCGAAAACGAAGATCACCAGCGGCTCCGGGGGAGTAAGCCTGCAAGCGTGCGTTATCGTTCTTGAAGAGTTCGCGGTGACAGCAGCCGGCGCGGCAAAGCGACACTATGATGCGCTGAAGTTGTTTCAAGGGTGGAGACGCAGCATAGTCTGTTGGGGTGAGTGCACCACGATACTTGGCACATCGCGAGACGTTCCCATCGACGATATCGGCGACCGCAAGGATCCAGTCCTATAGGGTTCTGAACCATGATGGAAATATACTTGTAGCAGTAGCGACATACCGGATGGTCCAGAAAGAAGTCTTGCTCGTTCACCAACTCTTCGCATAGGTCGCCCAGACCGTTCTCCCACAGGTAAGCTAGCGTAGCTAGATGCTCGGAGTTACCCTTTCTGACACAAACCGAAAGACCAGAGAAGGCTGTGGTTATATCCAGGAGCGGAGGATCCAGAGGACTACATTTCGTCCTAGCGGGGCATAGCATCTTGAATCTCTCCATAATCTCTTCCGGCGCTTGTATAATCGGTAGAGCGAGGTTGAACTCTTCGTCCTCGGAACCTCCTCCAGAAGGTTCACGGCCTGACGCGTCCGAACCGGGCACATGTGCTGCTTCGTGCGTGGCATCAACCTGAACGCCCGAAGGTGGATGCATGAACAGAATTGGTGCGCTCGCTGAGATATTATGTCACGCCAGACGAGTTCAGGAGGAATCCGCGTCCGTGTGGATGGTGGATGGTCAAGATGATGGTGGCTGACATGTTGACGCATGAGTGCATGAGTGACGACGTCGACGGTGGCACGCTTGATTGATGGCAACCAACCTTAACCCTAACGTCGCGTTCAAGAGCCGCATTTCCGAGGGTTCGTATTATCCAACAATTATTATTCCTTGTAGTACATAGAGATATCATATAACATCGAAGAAGGTGCACTCATTCTACTCCTGCCGCGGTTGATGAGGTACACTCTTCAACCTGTTCCCACATTTCAGCTTGTGCCCCCCTTTCCAATCCCTATAGCGCGGTCGTTAGTCGAGCGAAGAAGATTCGTGACAAGGAGGAAGCTCACTTCTGCTGGCACGCTCGCGAGCAGTACCGCGCTTCGCCGCAGCCGACGCACGCCCGTGTAGGGTTTGGGGGCTTCTGATCGTGGTACTCGCACTGAGGCCATGCACATAGTTGCGCTACCCTCTTCACCTCGCGCTCGTAATCTGCCTGCTCGCTCGCTTCCTCAAGGTTCAAGGCCTCTCCAAGACCCTCCCAAGCCGGAACAAGCTGCGCGCACTTCCGTGAAGTCTTGCTATCGCGCAAAGGCATCTCGCGGAGGGTCTTCAGGGTGCTGTACCAGTGACGCCGCGTAGCTTGTCGGAAGTCCTTCCTGAGTGCATTCTTTCCCGGACGCAGACCAAGCGCAGCTGCTATGCGGGTATAGCTCTTGATGATCTTGACACAAACGTCTAGTACAGTACACGGTGAGCAAACCTAGTATGTCAACATCAGGCAGGGCTCCGCACCGTCGTCGCTATTGACGTCTTCAGCCTGAGCAAAGGCAAGAGAAGAGCGTGATATGATCTCGATAACATCGATCTGCCTAATCAGAGGACCCGCAGCATCATTGATGGGTGCCGCATCGGTCAGTGTCCTGGGTCATGTTCAGCGACGTCAAGAAAGGTGCTCAGGAGGATGCAAAGATCACGCACACAAGAAGCTCCAGTGCACACTCTAAGACTCTCCACTGAGGAAGATCGGCGAAGGGGATATACGAATTGATCATAGTCTTGACGCCCGTCAGGAATCCAGAGGAGTGGTAATGAGGCCAATACGGATCTGTGGAGAGGACTCCGCGAAGGCCTTTCACGAGATTCTCATGATAAGTTGGGTAAGGGAACTTGGTCTGTTCCATGTAATCGCGTACACCGGCGAGGAAGTTGTGCGGGTCTATGACCTTGGGCACTACGTTGTCGAAGAAGTGGCTGTAGTCCTGAAGGGAAGCCGAACCGAGCGACTGTAACGCGAGTAGGAGCATGACATCTCCTTGCCAGCCGTTTTCGTCACCTCGGAAATGCCAAAGATGAAGACACATCTCCCTAAAGTACTTCGCGTCCATAGCATCCAAACGAATGTCGGAACCACTGTCTTCGTGCAAGTAGAAGTGGGCAGTACCGAACAGTATGCTCTGCATGTGCTGGCGCATGTCCTGTGACGACTCGGGATTGCCTGGTGCGTAGAGTGCCAGAACCATGTTTGCGTCGTTAAAAAGATCATAATGGGATTGTCCGTTGCGACAGAGTAAAGACACAGTGCGTCTCAGCTGTTCCCCGAGCAGCGACGTATACTCGAGGTCTCGCTTTGTGCACCAAGAAGCGGTGGTCCTAATGATATGCAGCATTGGCTCGACCCAGTACTATGGACATTGTCAGCTTGAAGAACGACTACCCGATACAGATATGATGCGCACCGGATGCTCGCCAAAGAAGTCTTCTTGCCCTACAACTTCCTCACAGAAGTCTCCAAGCCCGGCTTCCAATAGTCCTTCCCAAGCGAGGTCGTACTTGGCGCCACCAAATGGTCTATCATCCACCATGCACGCGACTCCCTTCATGGCGAGTCCGAAATCGGTCATGTAAGGGTCTATAGGACCACACCGCTCCCTCTCAGCCCAAAGATCTCTCAGTTTCTCCAGCGTCTCGGCGGGATTCTCCAGGATACCATCCTCTATCTCCTCTATGTCGCCCAAGGGAGACGGGGGTCTGATCCGGACGCCTCCCTCAACACCCTCGTCGTCCTCATCATCGGAAGCAACGGGCCCGTCCCCAGGTTTAGCCCACGATGGCCGCGGCAGTGTGGCCCAGCGACGATGTCCAGCAGGCATGAGTGAGGAAGGATGTGGAGATGGTGGTAGGGGTATGAGAGGCGCCGCAGCTCATCTCCGAGTCCGTGTGGCGCCCGATCCAGGAACAAGAGCTCAATATCAATCAAAGTCGGCGAACAGCCCGGCCGGGCCATCCACATGGGACAAGCTACAGTTAATGACAACTACGGCTCATAAGCAGGTACGGCGTCTAATAGTACAACAACAACGGCAGAGCAATACAGTACAGGATAGAGTCGAAGGGCAATAGCATATCAGAAAATACAGAATGCATTACGACGGAGGGCCTCTGTCCACCCATAGCCGCACAGTGAGATCGGTCCCTATCGAGCCTGACGCGATCATGTTCTTTTGAGGATGTGTCTTGGATGACGGTGAGTAGGGTGCACAGAGCCATTAAACCTTAGAAACATACCGATACAGCGACAACGATGCCTATACAAACACGATCTATGAGCAAGACGCGAGAGACAGTATGCGGAGCTTACCAGTATGAGCTTCTAACACTTGCACGACTTCGCGGCTTTGCAAGTCCCAGATGTAAACCTTATTATCTTCGCTACCGGATACGATCCACTTCCCGCCGGTGACGGAGAAGCTGGCGCCAATGCAGTACGTCTCGCTCTTGTGGCCGGTGTATGTCTTCAGGCAACGCGAAGCGTTGTAGTCCCAGAGGCGGATAGCACTGTCGTGGGCGGTAGAGAGGATATACTTTGAGTTGGGTGAAAATTGCACGTTCTGGCTGAAGGGGACCGTTAGAGAGCGCCTGGTCGCTGAGACGGGGACGCACCAGACTGCATTGTTGCCCTCAGTCAACGTCTTCAGCGCCTGACCGTTATTGGTGTTCCATATGCGACTGCGGGTACTTCAGTACGACAAGCTTTGCGCGCGAAACGTCGACATACATGAGACCATCCAGCGAGCAAGAGACCAATAGTGATCCATCACGATTGAAGTGCACAGAGGTAACGTAGTCGAGGTGTGCGTTCAGGGTCTTCCTGCACTTCCCTATGAGTTGTGAGCATCTTCTGATAAACCTGGCCGAGCTCAGCTCACCTTTCGCAGCATCCCATAACTTGATGTCCCCGTCGCACCCACCCGACGCTATCGTCGTACCGGCCGAGTTGTAGTTCACGGAAAACACATAAGTCGAATGACCCTTCAATGTATGTAGCGGAAGACCCTTAGGAAAGGCGCGTCAGAATACTGAAGGACATCCAACGGGAAAATAGTGCACACTGTGTCGACATTCCATACTCGTACTGTCGTATCGTCGGAAGCGGAGGCCAGATGCATGCTGTCAGGCGACCAAGACAGATCCGAGCACCCCTTCGTATGTCCAGCCAGGTTCCTGATCAGTTCACCAGTCTCGGGCGACCATATCTTCACGAGTGTTTCGTCGGCTAGAAAGTACGCTTCAGTATAATCCAAGCTGTGGCACGGGTGTCCGGACGTACCGCAAGTAGCGAGAAGTTGGCCGTCGGGACTGAATTTCACAGAAGATATTGGACCCTTGTGTCCGCGTAGTGTGTGTACAAGCTCATAGTGTGGTTTGGGTCTGCCAGGAGTGGGCGCCGGCGGTGCCGGAGGTGGAGGTGCCTGCACAGGCTGAGGGGGTGGAGGGGGAGGTTGCACAGGCTGCTCGGGAATCTCCGGGTCATCTTCAGTAGTCTGAGACGCGTTGTCGTCTTCGTCGGTGGAGGAGTCCTCGTCTCTGTGATCCAGGTCGAGCGCCATCGGGTCTCGAGAAGATGTTGGGCGGAGGAGACAGAGGCGGACTTCGGCCCGACGCTTCTAGCCACGTTGCACGTGAGTAAACAAGCGCGCGCGAACCACGCGAGGTTCGACGCGTCGGGCGAGCACCAGCAAAGCACCAGTTCGAAGCCCCGACCACCCCCCAGCAGCGCACACCGTGAGCAAAGTACGGCGTATACCATATCCTCGTCCTCAACTCCAGGTACGTGGCGGGCATTTGACGCTAGCTCATATCGACTGATGAACGTTGTACGTTCATAACGTCCACAGCCACCATTATCGCGTAGCCCTCGACATCCTCAACCCGCCGCTCTAATCTAGACCTGCTTGACTATGGCGCTCACCGACAAGTCTAAGGCTACTTTTGACTTTCACGAAGACGAAGAAGGCGGGCAACTCAGAGACTCCGAATCTCTCGCTCAGCTACAGAAGAACCCGTCTACCGCCGTACAGCGCATCCGTGAGCTGTACGCAGCCAGAGTTCCCGGAGGGCTCAACGAGAATCTCTGCAAGCATTTGCATTTGATTGCGCAAGTGCTTGACTCCTCTGAGAGTCCCTCCACCGCGATATGGCAGGCACTGATGAAAGAAGGGCTGTTCGATGTCTATCGTGATATGATGGTGGCTCCAGGCTTCTTCGAGGAGAAGTCCGTGAGTCGTAGTTGTAAGTCGCCGGCTTCTCAAGGTGTACTTATTGTTCTTTCTAGGAGCTTGTTATTGCCGTCGTCAATGGTCTCGCTAGTCTACCACAATGCTGCTCGGATACAGAGGACGTCGACTTCGAGACCGTGCGCTATCTGCTACTCGGTTGCCCCGCCATCTTCGAAGCAATATGGAAGAACCGTGACCGCTTGAAAGAGTTGGATACGTCTCCATTCGAGTCTGCTTTCGAGTGGTGTGTGTTTCATTGGGCAGACATGTATCAGACCTTGTGAGCAGTCTTGTAATTGCTTCGCATCCGTACAGTAGCTCATCAGCTGTCGGATACCCAGTCGCAACCACACAGCCGGAATGGAGACGTACATCCCGCACGTCTCCCTGTATACATGGGTACATCTTCACAAACCCAATGGGGCTTCCGACATGGCGCTTGCTGGTATGCGGTTCCTGTCCGACCGTAGGCACCCGTTGCCGGAGCACACACTCGAGCGCTTCACGCAAGTGGCTGTCATTGACGGTATAGGAGGCGACATTCTTCTCGCACGCTTCGAAGACGTCTTGCATGAGGCATTCGAACCCATTAACCTCGAGTCTCTCGGCTCCGGCGATGTCCTCGAAGCTCTGGGCGTCATGTCGCAGCTTGTGAAGCACCCGAGGATGCGAGCGCTCGTCCAGAAACGTGAAACGTTTCGACACATCGTCGCATATATGGACAAGTATGTGCACTCCTCGGAGATGCCTGGCGCACGGCAGAGAGAGTCTGCTTGGACAGAGTGGGAGATGGCGTTGTTCCATTTTGAGTGCGTTCCATCCCATGTGCGCTGAGGCATTGTGACTGAATGAGCGTGAATAGGCTGATAACCGAAGATCTGAAGAAGGCGTTTGCCAGCAAGAACATGTCCCACGTCACCGTTCGTGGCGAAGATATCGCTACCTTCCTCGCTCGTGGAACAGAGTTAGTCTCACGCGGTGTCCCCAGAGGTTCGTGATTCGTAATCGGAACAATGCAATACACGACTTACGTCGCCCGTTAGACAAGTCCAGACAGATAGCAGCTGCTTTGCACCTGTACGGGATCTGGGCTAAATCTCCGGAGTGGCGCCGACTATGCCCGTCGTTGACGGAAAGCCTTGTTCGCGGCGCGCAGAACGAATGGATACCGACGCTCAAGGCACTTGACACAGGCGCATACCGCCAGGGAATGCCTGAGAGAGTATACAAAGACCTCACCAACGCGTGGAGGAGCTTCGGTACGGCGATGGGTCTCAACGAGAGCAAGGAGAGGAAACGGTACGCGAACGAGAGGCAGAAGTTCTGCTCGTATTCTCCATGCCAATGGAGCAAGAAGGAGTCAGATATGCCGCTGCTCTCCTGTAAAGGTTGTGGAGAGGCAAGATATTGCGGGAAGGAGTGCCAGCGAGGGGATTGGAAGGTGCACAAGAAGACGTGCGGTGATCGGCTCAAGTAGACGTTCACCCCGGTCTGATGGCCGAGTATTTATAGAAGCCATACTTAGTGATCTATTCGCTCCTTTCATAGAAGTCGGGCATTGTCTTAACTGGAGCAGATGGTGGGCGGAGGAGAAAGGAGAAGGGGGCACAACGGCGGAACGCCACGTTGCACGTGAGTAAATCAAAGGCGCGCGGACCGCAAGGTTTCCAAGGCGCGTCGAAGTTCAGGGTGGGTTGTTCTTCGCCACCACCACGCACCTGCTTCGCTATGAATCCCGAGGATCCTTCAACAGTGACCCATACGACTAGCAGCTGCTTTGAGAAGACTCCTGTGAACTCGGCATTCATCAGACGGCTGCAGAAAGATCCGCATGCCACCCTCCAACACATCGAGGAGTTATATGATGCCAGACTGCCTGGAGCACACAACAAGAACCTCATCAAGCATCTAAAGTGTCTTACGGAGGCTTCTGGATCTCACGAAATGCTTCCTCGTGGAACATGGCCGGCTGAGACGAATCGACGTCTCTTCGATCTTTACTTCAATGCCGTAGTGGCACCAGGCTTCTTCGAGGAGGAACCTGTGAGTGACGAGTGCTTACGTTGCGATTCTCCGCCTGAAAGAGCTGCGTATAGATTCTCGTGGTACTTGTCGTAGAAGGTTTGCTGAACCTAGCGAGAGAGTGTGTGGATCTGGATGACATCAAAACTGTGAGGTATATGCTACTATGCTGTCCTGTCATCTTCAAAAAGATGTGGGAACACCGTGATCGGTTGAAAGCCTTGGATATCTCTCCGAAGGAGTCAGTGTTTGAGTGGTGTGTCTTTCACTGGGCAGACATGTACCAGAGAAAGTGAGTTCCCCCATCACGTCACGCTCCAATGACTGCACTAACGTACTCTTTTACGCAGCCATGATCATCTGGCGGGCACCAGAACTTATATCCCCCAGGTGGCTCTTTACTGCTGGGTACATCTATCCAGGCCAGATGGATTCTCTGATATGTCCTTGGCGGGATTGAGGTTCATTCATGGCGGTGATCAGCCATACTACGCACCGCAAATGGTCGAGCGCTTCGCCCAAGAGGTCGTCGTGGACACTCTAGGGGGCGATTCTGTTTTGGAACGTTTCGAGCGTACTTTGATTGACTGCCTTGATGAAGAAAGAATGGACATTTTGATCGGTTCTGGCGAGGTAGTCGATGCTCTCGACTTTGTAACGCAGCTGGCGAAGCATCATTCGGGGATCCGGAGACTCGTGCACCAACGTGAGACTTTCAGGCATGTAGTGGCCTATCTCAATCACCGCATATGCTTCGTAGAGCAGTCGGAAAAGGATGACGCGGACGTGGTGTGGATGGAGTGGGAGTCGGCGTTGTTCTTCTGGCAGTATGTCTCACATGGTTGTGAGGAGTGTGAAGAGCCTCGTACTTACTCTTGATGGACAGACTCATGTTCATGGATCTGGAGGACGCACAAGACAAGATGGATATGTCAAACGTGACGGTCCGCGGCGACGACATAATCACGTTCTTGGCACGCGGCACAGAGCTCATATCTCGCGGCAATCCTCCAGGTCTGTCTATCTCAGGCCTTGTGATACATCGTTTTCTCATGCGGGATAGACCTTTACGACCTCATCACAGGGAGTTTGCAACTGATGGGAGTTTATGCAAGGGCTGAACTGTGCGATATAGCGCCAACGCTTGTCGACGACCTTCTACGCCGCACAGTCACGGAATGGATCCCAGTACTGAACATCCTCGATATGGGCTTTTACCGCCGAAGGATACCAGAGGACGTTTACAAGAAGCTACGTGACGCGTGGATGACATTCGGATCGCAAGTCATGAATCTTGACGAGGATAGAGAACGCAAACGTCATCAGGACGCGATGCAGAAGTTCTGCTCGTATCCAGCATGCCAGTTCTATCGAAAGGAGCCGAACGTGGATTTATCGTCCTGCTCGGGGTGCGGAGGAGCCCGGTATTGTGGTAAGGAATGTCAACGAGGAGATTGGAAGGTGCACAAGAAGACATGCAGGAAGGTTGTGGAGTAGACGATACTTTACAACAGATAGTAGACATCATAGCACCAGTGATCGGAATACAACAGCGTGACCAGTGACCGTAGCAGGTATTGGGAGTGACAAATACTGGGAGTGGTACAGGTAGAATGGCACCTGTTCATCAACGTTAAGTGTCAATATCATCCAGACCGAGACGCATGGAGAGTACACCTACCTCCGCATTACACGCTCATCTTCATCGCAATAGACGGGTGAGGGTTATAGCCCTCCACGACAAAGTCGTCGTATTGGAAGTCCTCGATGTCCTTCACATCGCGCTTGAACTTGATCGTCGGGAACGGTCGTGGTTCGCGCTGCAGCTGCACCTCGAGCGCCTCGACATGGTCCCGGTAGACGTGCGCATCGCCAAGTTGGATGATAAGCTCGTGAGGGATGGTGTCCGTGACTTGTGCAATCATGCAGGTGAGCAATGCGTAGGATGCGATATTGAATGGGATGCCCAGTCCAAGATCGGCTGAACGTTGGTACATGAGGCACGAAAGGCGAGGACGTGCGGCAGGATCGTCGGCTGGCGGTAGATGGACGTAGAACTGGCACATCATATGGCAAGGAGGAAGTGCCATCTGAGGTATATCTATATTTATGTTCTAATTCAGCACAATCCTGATGAGGCTGGTGCTTGACATACCAGCTGGATTCCATGCACTCAAGATAATGCGTCTATCCGTCGGGTTCTCCTTGATCTTATGGATGACTTCACGAAGCTGATCAACACCTTGACCGGTATAGTCCGCATCTGCATCGGTATACTTTGCGCCAAAGTGTCGCCACTGGAAACCGTAGACAGGACCAAGATCGCCTTCGCGCCGATGGGACAAGGAGCGTGAATCGAGGAACTCGCGTGAGCCATTTCCGTCCCAGATCTTGATCCCCTTCTGTGATAGCAGCGCCGAGTCCGTCGCACCCTTCACAAACCAAAGAAGCTCCTCAATTATTCCTCGCAAGAAGGTACGTTTCGTTGTCAGGAGCGGCAGAATGTTGTTGGCGAGAGAGAAGCGGAAGGGTGTGGGTGCGAAGATGGAGATTGTACCCGTCCCTGTGCGGTCCGGGCGCGTCTCTCCGGTTTGCATGACCTGCCTAATCAGGTCCAAGTACTGAGTCTCTTCATGAGGCTTAGATGCTGCTGATACGGAGGTGGACATGGTGGTTCGGATGAAGGGACGCGTCGCGGGAGAATAATCAACGAAGACGCGTCAGAACGCGTGATCGCGTTTCGAAGCGCGTCTCGGAGTCGGCCGCGGCCTCGCGTCGCCGCAGCCTTCGCGTCGAGCTTGTCTCTTGTTTCCATCGAGTTGCTCGGTGTGCCATGAGCCCATCCCAATATGGAGTTCCTCATGTATAGTGCATTCAGTACCTTTCATATGCACAGACGTAGAACTCAAAGGATACCGGTACGTATGAGTTATTTTAGGTCTCACTGTATGTCGCACCAAGGGTGCGCCCTTGATCACCGCGGTGGAGCTCGTAAACGGTCTCGCCAAACAGTCCCCTCGGCTAGCCTCCGTTCCTCAGCAACAGGGGTAGCGCCTCGGTGCCTACCCGACTCTTCCGCTTACTGCTATATATGGGACCGGCGACGTACACGGGGGTCAGCTTACAACCCCGCTTTCGAACTTGCCCATCCGCACACTCTCCTTCCATCACTCAAATCGCTGCTCAACCAGCACTATCCACGTCCACTTGATTTTTGACCATGCCGGCGCCGCGCTCGGCTCTGCTTCTTCTCTTACCCGTATTGGGCTTTACATTCTGGTTGCTCTTTTCGTCTCCTTCGCCCGAAACTTTGCAAGTCGCACATAGTCGCATTCACTATCGGCCTCCTATCTATCATACGCATCCTCCCACATGGCTTGAACGCGAGGAGGCCGCATACCGGGAATCTCTCGCAGAGCGGACCGCTTTGATCAAGACATGGGGCCCTCAACTGCATGAAGTTGAATGTACGGGGGAATCCTCATTACCGGGTGTGGTGCTTATCTGACATGTCATCCAGCGTTCCCGCCAAACTGGAAGATGTACACCCTGTGGGACTTCTTCACGCCTTCCTTCCAATGTCCGTACCGTACCACGAGGGTCGGCCGTCGCGGCGACGGCGGTAAGTGGATCTGCGGTATGGAGGAGGTGGCGGCGAAACCCGCTTGCGTAGTCTATTCCTTCGGTATGACTTCGCATCCAGTATCCCTCCCTCACCTATTCTCATTACTTCTCTCTCTTAGGCGTGAACCGTGACAGCTCCTTTGAAGCAGCTGTACTGGAGAAGGCGCCTCATTGCGAGATCTGGGGCTATGACTTTAGCGTTAGCAACGTGCGTCTTGTTCTATTCATGCGCCTCCGACTCGATCGTGCCGCTGATGCCGTACCACCTAGTGGGGGCCTGAACTCTCTGAGAACCCGGTATATGCTGCGCAGTCGCATTTCAACGCGTTTGCCCTTGCCGGACGGGACGCGCACAGCCCAACTGACAGCCCGAAGATGTACACCCTACAATCCCTCATGGCCATGAATGGTGCGCAGTTACAATTGGAGCCTATTTATCTCGTGCAACCTCGTACTAATGCCCGCCAAATAGGTCATGATCATATTGACATCCTCAAGGTTGATATCGAGGAGGCCGAGTTCGATGTGCTCGGCGAGCTCGTCGCGTCGTACGCGGAGAAGAACGAGCCTCTACCATTCTCTCAACTTCAGCTCGAGATCCACGCATGGCACCAGCACGCCGAGTTCCCCTACTTCCTCAAGTGGTGGGAATCACTCGAAGCGGCTGGTCTTCGTCCTTTCTGGTTCGAACCGAACCTCATACATGTCAACCTGTTGCGAGGCGTGCCGCCTGATGTCGCCGAGGTGAGTTGATACGGGTGTGGCTATAGTAGTGATGGCTCATACTCCATCACAGTACGCATTCCTCAACATCCGGGGCAAGCAGGGTCTTGTTCCCGAATTGGACTTCTAAACAATATACTCTCTTTACTCGACTCTTTGCTATCGGACTATCTTCATCATACTGTCACTCCAAGCCCATTAGTACACCACATGGACTCAATCATTCACCTGTATTTTAGTTCTGTCAACCTACTATCCGCCGCCCATGCCATGCGGAGCCTCGTCAATGCCACTCGCAACAGTCAGACGTACATAGAGCCCGCAGACTGCCTGAGATACTCGGTGCCACAGTATGCCCGGTAACGCGGCCCGCGAGTGACATCGTGACAGTTACTTTTCGGCGGAGTCGGGCCCGCTGACGCGCTCACAACGCCCGACTCCCGACCACCATCTTCCAATGTCGTGAACAAAATATGCCCCCGATTGGCCAGAGCTGAAACAGCTAGAAGCGACAAGTATCTCCTTGGCGTTCATTGCGACATGTTCTGTGCAGAGGAGCACGCGTAATCCCGACGCCCGTCGGACGAATCGTACCGCCGCTTGATCTCCATCGCTATTTCCATGGCACGGACGCAGCCTCTCATTGTACCCTTTCTCGATCCAACATGATTGGCCCTTGGCCAAGCTGCTTGAGCCAGCTGCGCGCGCTGCTCTGTTCTCATGTTCTCTTGCGAGGCCATGTGCGATATTGCGCCCCGTGATGCCTTCCTCTGATCCTTCGAAGCTCGCGCTACGTCCATTGATTGCATACATTCAGATCTCTTGCCATGTACGGAATATATTGAGAATCGCACTGCTCTTTCCCCACGGGGTGCATGTGGTGATCCAATCTTCACTGTCCTCGCTATCAGCACGGCTGCTACGTCAAGTGAGCCGTACCTTTAAATGGGAACCCATGACCAGCTAGCCTGAAGCATTTCCCTGCGGTTCATCTCGTAATTATACTGCTATAAAGCCCGCAGAGCGGCTTTGCAGAAAATCACGGTCGTTCTCCGTCTCCTGGCTTTACGGTTCTTTGTCTGGCACTCACGATGTTCGCTTCCTCTGTCGTATACGCCCTTTCTCTCGGCGCGGTCGTCTTTGCCGCTCCCTCCCCGGTAGCGGAGCAGGCTCTCGAGAGGCGCGACACTGTCACGGCCCTCAGCAGCTCTGCACTCGCTGCTTTCGCCCCTTACACCCAGTTTGCTCGCGCGGCATACTGCGATCCGTCGGACGTCGCCGACTGGTCGTGCGGCGATGCTTGCAAGGCCAACTCTGGCTTCAAGCCTAGCATCACTGGCGGAGACGGCAACGCCCTGCAGTACTGTGAGTTTCTTCGTATGATCTTATATCGGAACTGACTTTGGCTCGTAGACTACGTGGGGTACTGGCCCGCTGGCAAGACAGTTGTCGTTGCGCATCAGGGAACGGACCCAACACAGCTGTAAGATAACCCTGTGTTCCTTATGGTCAGCCGTCAAACTGACCGTCTGTCATACTAGGGAGTCTGATTTGACAGATATCAACATCGCCATGGCCACTTTGGACTCGACTCTGTTCCCGGGAGTGCCCAGCGGAGTCCAGGTTCACAAAGGCTTCTCCGACGTGCAAAAGCAAACCGCGAGCTTGATCTTGAAGGAGGTCAAGAGCCTCATGTCAGCCAACAGCGTGAACAGTGTCACATTGGTACTTGATCCTTGTGTTCTCAACCGTACATTATACTTACGCCCACCAGGTCGGCCACTCACTCGGCGGCGCGATCGCGGAACTTGATACGCTCATGTTCAAGCTCAACCTCCCTTCCGCGACTGTCAAGGGTGTCACTTACGGCACCCCGCGCGTCGGCAACCCCGCGTTTGCCAACTTCTTCGATTCCAAGTCCATTGACTTCACCCGTGTGGACAACCGCGACGACCTCGTACCCATCGTCCCTGGGCGCTTCCTCGGCTTCGAGCACCCGTCTGGCCAGGTGCACATTATCAGCAACGGCAACGCTGTTGCCTGCTCGGGTCAGGAGAACGAGGTTTGGCGGTTCATGAAGTCAAGGCACGAACCGTACTGATGACGCGTATTAGAGCGACCAATGCACGGATGGAGCTGTCCCGAATATCTTCGACGGGAATGTCATTGACCATCTCGGGCCATACGTGCGTTATCTCGAGACGTATCATATGCGACGTACTGATCCGCGTTATAGGAGGGTATCTACATCGGCACTCTTTTCTGCACATGAAGGAAACAATAAAAACGGAGGGCATGGCTGTGACAGCCCAACGCTCGTGTACATTGGTGTATTTCATACTGGGATTAATGTGTATTTATTGGGGCACGATACATTGATGCATTACGATTCACTGTCCGTCTGGGTGCTGGGCAACGAAGTGGATATGATACACTGAGTGGTTTTACATCTGAGAGGACATCGGGATCTAGAAGGCTTTACTCGAGGTCGAAGAGAAGGACCTCGGCGGTCCGGTCGCCGACGTTCTCGACGGACACGTCGGTACCCGCAGGGAGATGCACGTAGACGCCGTCGCCTTCTCGGAGCGTCTGCTCTTTGCCGGCAACGTTGATCTTGACGGTAGCGCCTTCGGGCTCTCCGGCGTTGTAGCCGCTCGTCTGAATAAGGTGTACATATGCCTTCGAGCGCTCAATCTTTTGGGTGACAGTCTTGCCCTGCGAGAGAATCGTCGCAAAGAGCGAGAGCGGACTGTGGACTGGTGCAGGGCCAGACGCTTCGCGCTCAGTCGAGACACCGTGTTCCTTGTCATCATGCGGCGCAACGACATGTGCCCACTTGTCTGTCTTCTCTTCTTCCGTAAAGTGCCTACGCCAGACGTCAGACAGACATTGATAGGCGCGCGACCCCGTTACGGACCTTGTGTAATATGTTGGCGGTAGGCGCTGTTGCGACGGCATGCTCCAGATCTGAAGGAAGTGCACGGGCTTCGGGCCGTGCTGATATTCGCTGTGGCGAATGCCAGTTCCGGTCGAAGTCATTTGGATGTCGCCGCGCTTGAGGATCTCCATGTTGCCCATGGAGTCATTGCTACAGGCATACATGAGCACTCCGCACGCAGGACATGGCGGTGAGATACGTACTGTCGAAGCTCGCCCTTGACGATGTACGAGAAGATCTCAAACTCGCGGTGTCCGTGCGTGCCGAAGCCCGTGCGCGGCGAGACACGGTCCTCGTTGATAACCCGCAGCGAACCGAACTGCATATGGTCCCAGTCTTGGTAGCTGATGGAGTATAATGAGCGTGGTAGAACAAATGTTCAACAGAAGTAGGCATACTCTGCAAACGAGAACGTGTGGAACGTCTTGAGCCAGCCGTGGTCGGCATGTCCGCGCTGAGTGCTGGGACGAGGGATCAGGCGAACGGACTCCTTGGCGACCATATTTGCAGAGATATTAGATACGAGTGTAGAAGATCGGCGGGAGAGGAGACTGAGAGTGGGTGCGCGAAGAATGCTGGAGAGGAAGTAGGACAATGCGATGGCGATGGGCACGAGGGCCAAACTACGGAGGATGGATGTAGAAAACAGCTTGTCTGTGCTTGAGGGTTGGAGGATTCGCGAACGTCATTCTTATACTCTTCGTGTTGCCGTTGGGAGTTTCAGGCCAGAATGCGGGACGGCTTACATCCCTCCTGGATCGGGGTGACAAAGGCCACAAGCGCCAGGTTCGTTTTCGGAAACCCTGTCGACACGATCAACGGCAATCGCCTCACGCGCATTACGCGCAGTCACGCCCCTCGGCCTCGGAATTATTCTGTGCTGACCACCACCACAGGGTAGCTTCAGGGCCGATACTTGCCGCAGGCAAGCTTCACTATGCGTAATACAGCTGTTCCTTGACCTTGAGCTCTTGACAACGTTAACGTGTTGTCAGCCAGCCGTGCGAAAATTGACGGCAAATCCCGCGGCGGCGGTCTGCGGCGTCAAGCCTGTCCCGGTAATCATCACCATGACTGCACCTTCTATAGCTTAAGAATCTACTTATAACGCGTCCGTCTTAGGTGCTCAGTATCATGACACGGCCCTTCCGGTATATGCCTAACTGGGAAGATCCTGCTTTCCGTGGGGTAGATGCGATTGACTCTAGTCTGTATGGGGAAGTTGACCGAGCTGGACGGGGATGCATCGTCTCCCTCACGAGTACTGCAAACGAACTTTATCATTAGTGGATACTCTGGTATACGCAAAGATGCTGACAGCAAACAGAGCATCTGAAGAGATGCGCACCGAGCTCATTACGCCACAAGAATCGCGCGATAGCGCAAGTTACCCTTGTCCAACGCCCTGAAAGCATCCTCTATGCCTTCCTCCGTCATTGGAAACTCCTCGACCATTGGCTTAATGCCCTGCGCCGCGGAGAACCTGATCATCTTGTGATACATACTCCGTGGCGCCACGCACGATCCCTGAACCCGCAAGCCCTTCACCACGAGCGTCAACAGGTCGAAGTTCATCCGCGCGCCATAGTCAGCCGTCTGCATCAGAGACCTCCAAGTAAGCGCGCAACCTTAGGGCTAGGCTACATGATGGCTCACGATCGGGTAGATTGTCGCATTCGTTGCCATGATGGGGAAGTACAAGTCCCAGTCTGGCGACACTGAGGTAGTGACGAGCAAATGGTGGATTGGCATGATCCTCTGGAACTTTGTCACTCCCTTCGTCCGCGTCAACACGATCTATTGCTTTCTTCCTGTCCGACACACCTTGGTCGCATAGAACTCATGCCCACCCAATCGGATAGCCTCCCCCCTCTTTGCCTCCGTTCCAGAGAATGCGATGACTTCACACCCCATCTTATTCGCATACTGAAGCGCGAGATGGCCCAGTCCACCGACGCCTACTACCCCTACACGGTCACCCGCACGCACACCATACCTATGAAGCACTTCGAATACAGTTGCGCCCGCGCAGAATAGCGGTCCGGCATCGCGATTGTCCAGCCCGTCGGGTATGGGAACCACGAACGTCTCGTTGAGAACGGCGTGTGACGCGAGCGTGCCGAGGTCAGGAGTCGAGCCCTCCCTACTATATGCGTCCATGTTTGGGCAGTACGCCTATCGCATACACTTAGTGAGCTATTCGAGCTAAAAATGGTCTGGGCGCTCACATCGTCGCCGACCAGACAGGCTTCACACTTGCCGCAAGTCGCGCGCACTACGGGGATACCAACGCGGTCGCCGATCTTCACCGTCGTCACAGCGGATCCGACGAGCTCAATGATACCGACTCCTTCGTGTCCGAGACACATATTGCTCTTGCGGTGCCATGCGTCTGTCCCGCAGAGCCTAATAGAGCACTCAGAAGTAGTTTCGCGTCGAGAGGCGAAACAAGGCGCACCCAGAGTGTGTGATCCTGACCACGACGTCGTTCTGCCCCACCGTCTTCTCGGCCGTCTTCTTCACGATGTGTCCGCTTTCCGAGCCACAAAAGGTCGTGTACTTGAAAGCGGAGACCGTAGAGGGTCGTGCTGGGATCTCTCCAGGCATGAGTGCAGTGAAGTTCGACGCAACTTGTTGATTCGTCTGCGCTAGAGCCTCGTAGTAGCAGGCTGTGAATTCAGCGCCTGCACCATCCGTACTTATACGAGTCTGTTGAAAGGATTAGCAAGGGTGCGAGTACAGGGACGCAAGTGCGCGGGATACGGCTCGAAGCGTGTGCGGACTGAATGGACGCTTTGAGCCGTGAGCCTGACCTCGTCCCGGGAACGATACCACGATGTCGAAAAAAGGTCTACTCCCAGTGGTGAGGTGGATATGCGAGCCTGGGAATCAAGCCCACGTCAGATATGTAGTACAGAACATGCATGCTTGTAGAAATATTCAAGTAAGCAGAGTATGTATTGTACGGTAAATGCAAATGCGAAAGAGATCCATGGCTACAAACAGTGTAATACAAAACGGTAGATTTCAACTTCAAAGCATCAGCAAATCTGAAAGCGCGATAACAACAGCTCCTTCTCCCCCCTACATAACCCTCGCAACCAACGCCAACTCATCGTCAGCAATCTCGTCAGCTCCAACATCTCGTTCTTCAACCCCGTCCCTGTCTCCACCGTCTGCGCCGTCCCCCGCGACTCCATCCTTTGGCACCGTCTGTTGGTCAAAGTTCCGTAGTCGGAGCTCGACGAGGTACTCCCGATCGCGCACGGCGCGGCTCCATGTTACAAATGCCTCTACGCCGGCAGTTATGAGTTGGCCGAGGGCGACGCCGGTGAATATGAGTGGGTAAATCTGCAAGTCTGAGAAACAACGATCAGTTTCCAATGTTTTCGTTCAAAGAAAAGTCGAAAGAACGTACATCCAAGCGGTCCATTGATAGGCACCCACTCCTCTCCCAACGCCAGCACCAGTCCGTACGCAAAGAGCGGCGGGCCGAGCAGCATCGCGAGCAGGCC